CATACTCAAGTCAAGTATGATTTTGTCGCAAATGAACTTACTTAAATCGCGTAGAAGAATCGTCAATCTTCTAGTCTTTATTGTTTTCATGATTTTTTCGTTATGCACTTCCAATATTGCAATATGTAAAATATTCATGACGTAACGCGGAACGATAGTGATGAATGAAAATTTATTCGAGTTCCGTGAAGTGCACACACTCTGAGATTTAAGCCATTGAAAATAATTTACTTCCCTTAAGAAAATATGTTTCAGATATTAGAAATTTTTTTTCTCAGTGTACGACAATGAAATGACTGAAAATCGTGAAAATTCAGGCAACTTTTCTTCGGAATTTTTAATCTCTGGAAAATTCACTTGAATGTAATGCTTAATTTTCGCGATACGTGTGAAAATCCAAATGATCATTGATAATTCAAAATTTTATTTTATCCCTGAGTTACAAGATTGCTGTCATATAATTATTATTGTGTCATTTAAGGGTTCTTTTCTTGTCTGTGATTATTAGACAGCCGAAACGAAAAACTACTATCCCTTGTTTCGCATAGAACAAAGATTTTTCGGGAGCAAAATACGCATGGGAGTATCGAATAGCGAAGGAGTAGTGCTAGAAATGCCATTTCTTGCGTGTACAGAGAAAGCAACTTTTTTTCAACTACTAAATCTATTTTTGGGACAAAAAATTTTCATCCCGGCGCACTCTGCATGTTTGGCAGAAAAAATCCTTTTTTGATAATTTTCTAAAAACTATTTTCTTGGCACAAATAAGACTTGTTTGAGAACTTTGTCGTTTTCTCTCAGCGTAGCGTGCAAACGTCGAGAGCAGAGGTGAGAATTTTGGGGGTGCGTTCAGCTGGTAAGATAGCCTCAACTGATAACTAGCCATTCACTGCATGGGGGTGAATGTAGATAGCTGTGTGATCAGTGAGCAGAAATACAAACACCTGCCCTAAATCATTCAAATGGAGAGAATCGATAACCCGCGACTTGACAATTTTCCGGTTTTACAAGGCTAAAATAGTATATTTCGTCACTAGGCCGAAAGAAACTTTTCTGGCGAATACGAGTTTGCAGCCCGAGCCGAAGGCGAGGGCTGCAATCATATGAGCTAGAAAAGTTTTTTTTGGCCGTATGACGAACAGTATTTTTTGTTATGACGGCCGTAGGCAGAGATTCACGAACGCGGAGCGTCCGTGAAGCGCTGCCTCACGGCCGGAATGACAAAAATAATGTTGCTATAGCAGTATAGAATTGTCTCGAGTCCTCCAGGGTTATCTACTGAAGTGGCTGAAATGTTGGAAGCCACGTTCTGGAGAGAGTTGCTTACTCCAACTCGTTAAAAAATGATTCCGCAGGAGAAAGGAGGATTGGCCTAGCTATCAAGGGTCACGTCTTTTTATAGTTTGTAAGGGGACAGTTTGAGGTGCCCTGAGGGCAATGATTGATAGCATTCGTGGAGACTGAGGTGAAATGAGAACGTTGACCACTCACTCACTCATGCAATTTCACCCAAATCATCAAATGATTTTGTGAAATCATTTTGTCATGAATTCGCGAAGTCAATTGCAGTCAATCCTGTTATGTACAAGTTCGTGGAGACATTTCCTTCATTTGCAGCTGCAAATTTACCCCTGATTATCAGCGAAAGACAAGAAGATAAACTGAGAGCCTTGATAATTCTGGTTTATCTGACCTGAAAAGGAAGACTGGGCTTTACAATTAATTATGCGATAGGGGTAGCTTGGAGAGGTGTATCTGGCACAGACAGACACCCACTCCCTCCAACCCTGAATGGCATACCAAGGATGTGGTGTAAGCGGTGCGGACCCGACGATATGCCGCACAATAAAGAAATTCCTGGGGTCTAAGCGGCACACCGGTTCGATTGCTTTTATCCCCGCCCGCTAAACCACCGTGATGATTGCAGGGATGAGAATTTATTGATGGAGATCATCATTCATGCGGAATTCATTCGCAATTTCAAATTGAATCGTCTTCTTTTTTTTTATTCTGGTCTGATTTTCTCATCGCAATGCAGAATCGATTTTGTAATCTCATTTCACTTTCTTCAATGTTCCTCAATTTATTTCGTCTTGCATTTTTCATCAGTTGACGTCTTCATCATTGTTCTTTTCTCCTTTCCTTTATTTCTCGTTTGTAATCCAGACCAACAATAGATGAATAAATTAATAATAATACTACTGACACCTAGTATGAAAAAGTTCGCTTGTCTTTTGGGAACTGCTGCTCACAATAATCCCTTCGAATGGAACAATGGGGGGAATGTTATGCTGACTAATAACCCTTTGTTACTCCCGCCCACGCCACCGCGCCGGTGAAATTCTATTTTTTAACATAACTTCCGAAAAATCTCATTAAAAAATATGCGAAAATTTTTATGCCTCACTGATTTCATCTAAAAGCATATTCTGCCTTTTCTGACCACGGTCAAAGCCCCTGATTAGAGAAAACTCACTCCTATGTTAACTGGAAATAAAAGATACGGCGCCGTGCCGCGACGCGATTGATCGTGTCACGGAAATATTTCACACGGTGTTGCCACACTTGTGGCTGCCGGAAGATCACCGAGTCCGCTCTCCGAATCAATTATGGCAACGGCGCGCTCAGATTTACATTACGGTGCGGCGCCGCGATGCGAGTATAACCACGTCGGGCAGTTTCACGCGAGTAACGAAGGGTTAATAAAACTCTCGAAGATCCGTCACGTCCACCTGAATACTCTCCACCAATGTAGAATTAATGGAGTTCTAATGCATGTCATCTTTTTATTTTTCATCACTTCATCTCTTCCTCCTAGTTCTTTTTTCCGTCTCCTTTATGTCTCGTTCGTAATTCAGGGGAACAATAGATGAATAAATTAATAATAATGCTAATGGCACCTAGTCTGAGAAAGTTCGCTTGTCATTCGGGAACTGGTGCTCAGAATAATCCCTTCGAGTTTATAATTTTTCTGGAATCCTTTGTTGGTGGGACAATGGGGCGAATGTCAGGCTGAATATTAATAAAACTCTCGAAGATCCGTCACGTAGAAACGAAACGATAATCGCAGCCATATTCTGGTGATCGAGTCGAGTCCAACTGGATGCTCTCCACCAATGTGGAATGAATGGGGTTTCAAGCTTCTTTAGCAACAAGTTGCTACTCGGTAAGTCTCTCACAGTGAGTATGCTATAATCAACAAGTGACTCGGTCTTCTTGTTCCCCATCCCTTCTGGAATTCATATATATCGGGCTCTACAGGTGGGTAGCAGACTGAATTTTAAGATGCAACTGTCAAAGCATCTGGACAATAATTCATTCAACGAATCACGAAAATACGATACCGGAATTCCCCTCACGTGCGGATAAATAAAAATGATAATGATGGGTTTATTCTTCCAGACTGCCACGCACTCAAGATTTGGCAGGGGCTGGGGGATAATCCCAGGTTGAATTACTGAGGTCCATTTTTATTAAGGGAAATAAGAGATGGAAAAACGTCAGGGGGAAAGATGAATAAAACGAACTGTGGATTTTTTTGGAATCTTCGACGCTACGCAAGAATGATTGATTGATTCGTGCCGTCAGGGAATTGATGAATAATCATTTCGGAAAACTTCTGCATACAATTCTTGAAGAAGACCTGCAGAGAATTCCAAACGTTTGAAGGAAATTTTTCTCTTCCATCTACTCTTGAAAGCAAAATTTCATGAAAAAATCAATGGTAACTGTAAAAATCCAGTTAATTTGGTACTGAATGTTCACATTTTCATTGATAACTAAATTGAGTTGGGGAATTTTCGTCTTCCTACAGCAAAAAAATTTGGAATTTTATAGAATTTTCAGTGAAATCTGAAACTTCACGGTCTAATGGGCAAAATCGCTAAGTGTGCTGCCTTACCAGTGCACATTGAATGCATATTATCAACCATGGACCCCAGGGCCGTAGTGGCAGTGACCGAATTCTTCAAGAAAAGCGATTTGAAAATATGAAGGAACATTTGAAGAAAAAAAAGTGAATACTTAAATAACTAAGATAAAGACTTCAACTGTATACGAGTAAATAATGTATGTAACCATGATCATGAAGGCGTGAATAAAAAAATCGAATTCAATGTCACTCTCCAGAAACAACCACTCAACTGTCCACGAGATTTCGCTTTTTTCCTAACAGTATTCATCTCGTTTCTTCCTTCCTCCGCTAGGTGGCCAAAACCCTGAATTTTTTCCCATCTGTGAAGTTCTTGATATGCACGTACATGAGCAAAATGATGTTCATCCTCACGTATTTAGGTACTCAATCAACACCGCTACATTTGACATTCAACATCGATAAACAAAAAATGAGTAAATACTCAACATTTTAATCACACGCTTGTGCCTCTCGCCCACGCGCTATTCACATCTGCACCGCGGCCCCATGAATAAACCATAACGATGAGATAAAATTTCACAATGGTGTTCCCCACGTGTCCCACATGCACGGAGAAATGAATTTGAAGAATATGATGATTTCTGGGGCGCCGCATCCGAGCGTTTTAATAAAGACGTTGAACGTGTCATCATGGTAGTTCATATCATGACATTCCTGAAGCACCCGGGATTCCATGAATGGTCGTGACGTCGAGGTTAAATTTCACTCCCCAAGTATCTCGAGCGATTAATCCTCACATCCTCAAGCCATCGTCCTCTGAATATCCACGAAATCATTGAGCTACCCCATATCAAAATTCACTCGGCCAAAAGACATTTGCCCACCCCACAATCCATTATCAGTGTGTGCATGTGGAGGGGTAAAAGTTGAAAGATGGAAGAATGGGCAATAGTGAAGGGTGATAATGGTAATAGAAAGGGAAATATGGGCATGTGGGCGGGTGGTGAGGAATGAGGGAAAAAGTGATGCAGGAAATGATTGAGGGTGGTGGTAAAACGTTTCTCTGGACCATGCGCTTTGGATCGACGCGAGGGTAGGGGTATGACTTCTCCGTCGAGCGAGATCGTGAGGATTGGCAAGAGTCGACCGCTTGTCAAAGACGTTCGGGAGACACGCGTGGAAGGCAGACCGGGGGATAACAGGTATAACTCAGAATCAACTAAATACTTTCACATTTTGGCAACTAATTTTTTTTTCTCGTACACCCTCTCGGGTCTTTACGATTTGTTCCCTTCCCACCCCCAACCCCCTGCACCACTTTCGCCGGAGGACAAGGGGAAACCTCTCTTGAGATTTAGTGTTACAAATTTTGGCCTCTCAGCCGGGAATCGAACCCGAGTCTCTCGCATGCCAATCCCACACAGCCACCGCCGTCGATATACATTTAGTTAACTATTTTTGTCAATTCAACTGAATTGTCTAGACCGGTAGTTGCGAGAATGCCGCGGGGCCGGCTCAAGGCTGCTACCAAGGGCTACAAAGGGTCCGAACAATTTCACCTGCGGGACTAGCGTGATTGCTGAAGATCGACGCGCTCCGGTAAGTTTTTCATTTTTCTAGCTTCATTCAAATCACATTGGGTTCAATCTGTTATTTTTTGGGGAAGAAGTGAACTAGCGGAAGTGGGGTTTCATTATCAGTATTTTTTGGGCAATTGACTCAATTCGCATGAATCAAATTTCATTCTGAGAATTAAAAAAAATATCTGTTTATTTATTTGTAGAAAACCCAAGAGTACTAATCGCTTTCAATTGAAGTAAATAAAATTCATACGATTTTAGTTGCTAAAAGCATAAAAAGGTGGCAAAAACTAGCTGGAAAATCTAGTAAAATATTCCGGAATAATTGAAGAAAATTCCGTGAACATTCCTTTGATTTCCAAGCGGATGTCAATGAATTTCCTGGCACACATCCTCTCACTCATTTCCATGTGTCAACCCCAGATTCATCCCCACATACATGGACATCGGGTAAAATGACAAAGTTTCCGGGAGCGTTTATGTATACATGCCTAGGGTACATATCTGACAACTAAAATTTGTCCCTCCTGGGGCGAGGGAGTGTAGGCGCACTAAAATGACAAGGTTAATGTTTAATAGAGTGATCGTTAACAAGGTTACAAAGCAATCTGCATAACCTGGTATAACCGGGTAGTAGGAGGCTACTTTACTGCTGTTGCCATCACTTCTAGAGTCTAACGTTGAACCCCCTCGTGTCCCTGTAATTAACGGTGATAACGTTATTACTGGTTTCGTCAGAGGTGGTAACCGATAAGATGAACCAACTTCGTGCGGCTATTTTCTTTCTTACGGATACTTTTTTCTATTTTGGAGAGGCGAGGAAATTTTACTGCGAGGGTTTTACTTTCTGTTAACAATTTGCCAGCGTCATTTTTTATTTTTTATTGTTGGTTTTCATCATTTATGAGTGATTTTAATAATAAATGGCGGACATTTTTTAGAAGATACAACTCGCAATGGAAATGTTACGTTACATTTTTTGCCGATATTATTCGTTATGGGAATAATTTGATATTTAGGGATTTTATGGAATTAATCATTTATAAACTCAATTAAGAGGGTGTCCGCTTTTATTATCTGTACATTAACAATTTCTTTGTGTCAATTTCTATTTTTTTACGATTGTTGATCTCATTAATTATTGATGTTAACAAAAAAAAGTAAAAAATCATTGTTTTTAAAAAGTAAATAAAATTATTCGTTATAAAAACAATTTCATATTTAGAAAATGTTAAAAATGAATTGCATTTTATGGAATTAATAATTTGAAAACTCAAAAAACTTAAAAAAAAAGTGGTTCGCAGCTAATTCTTTCCTTCTTACTGATATTTGTTTGTATTTTTGGACGTCGAGTGCATTTAAATGCGAGGTGTTCAGCTATTATCATCTGTGTGTCAACAATCCCCTCGTATCACTTTTGATTTTCATAATTGTTGATCTATTTCATTAATGATTGATTTTAACAAAAAACGTCAAATAACTTTTTTTGTAGGAGAAAAAATTTGCAATATTTTTTTTTCCCACTTTTCTCTAAAATTATTCGTTGTAAAAATAATTCGATATTTAGCACATGCGAGAGTTAATTGAATTTTATGGGATAATAATTAACACACTCGATTCAGAAAAATAGTAGACATGAATTAGCCTAAGTACACGTCTCGCACATGTATAATCCACTAAGCAGCTTACCAATCATGATGAGAGACGAGAGATAGATTCAACTGTAATAGAGATCAACGTATTCATGAGTCTCATTAAGGATTCATGGCGTATTTGAGATATTTCGATTGATGGCCATCTATTTAGGGACAAGAATAGGGGGCTGTAGGTGTTGGATGTGAGACGGGCAAAGAGAGAGAGAAAGAGAGAGAGAGAGGGAGAGGGAGCGCAAGAGGGGCGGGGGAGAGGTGAGGGCTGGGGGCAGAGCATTTTCCGCAGTGGATAACGTAATTGACGAAGTAACTCGTTTAGAGTGCAATATCGCACGACAAAGTGGCGAGACGAGGTAGCAAAATGGATGGGGCTGGTGAGCGAGAAAGAGCCCGAGACGTGGGAAGGGAGGAGTGCATTTAAACCACGCACTTGCTGATGGATCTGGCTAATAAATCAGAAACAATAATTGACGGGATTTCAACGATTTGATTCATGCGATGTCATGCAAAATTAAATCATTTGGGTCAGGAGGGTCGGGTAGTTTAACTCGTGAATTTTTCCCAAGTTCATAAAATTATTTGATGTCAATTAGAACCTCACACCGAGAGAAGGAATTGCATTATAATAATTCCATAAAATTTTTAGTCTCCAGTTCTCAATTTCTGGCATTTATTCTATTCATTCTATCAAAAGACGAGGATAGAAATCGAATTTGTGGGTATTCTTTCGTTATTCGAAACAAATTGATTTTAAAACTTTCCGGAGACATTGAAAATCTAATTTTTTTTCCAGCCTACGATTTTTCAAATTTTTTTCATTTCCTCTCGTTAAAATTAGATCATAATATTCCAAAAACGGTGATTCCAAGTTTCCACCGACACAAATAAAGAAAAACAAATTTTCGCCATTTTCTAGTCGATCGTCCCTTCTTGAAAATTTTCAGTCTCCAATTTGTAATCCCCCGAGTAGATTTAATCAGGATAAATGAACTAGAAAGTAAATTTAATTTCAAATCATTTGATGTAAAGCACACAATGATGATTTAAAAAACAATAAAAAAAGGATTTCTCCCAATTAAAGCCATTCGTTTGCATGAGGGCACTTGTTTGCCACAAATAAACTCAAAATTAAATTTTCGTTCAATAAACTTCATCTCAAAGTCACTAAATCTTGTTCTTCAATCCCCTATTAGTAAACTTCATCGTCTGAAGCTGTCAATTCGCATGAGCAGACATGCCTAAGCGAGTTATCCCAACTAAATGAGAAACGACTAATGGACCATCTTAGAAAGTTGTACCCAGAAACGTGAGTTTACCCATAGAACGCAGTATGGAAACCCATCTATTGCGAGTTGTGGAGGCAACTGAGCTGGCAGATAGAGCGATATGACTAATTGGAGACCATTCTGGGGAGTTGCCCTGCGCCTTCTGCCTCTTAACTCTGTTACAATCTCAGAATGCTGCTCGAGTTGAGCATCAATAGGTCGCATAACGTAGTTTTATTTTTCATCGACTGACTGTGAGACAAAAGGCTTTCACTTCCTCAACAAGTCTTGATATCACCTGTTCTAATATCGATCACAATAAAGTCCGAGGGTGAAAGATGTGAGGTGCATGGTCACGTCCACCATAATTCCTCGCCGGATATGACGTCTGACACGATTTTTCTATTAGCCGGAGGATTATTTTTTTCCCCACTTTTATACATTTTTTTTTTCGTGATGGGTGAGTCGAGCGATTTGAGCTTTTTGGTCAAACGCTAGTACGTGACGTGTTTTTCCGATTCGTGTGAAGTGTAAAAGGATGTGGTGGCTGTGGCTCGAGGTTTTGTGGAATGATTGAGGCCAATTATTTTGTTTTTGATAATGAGACTGGGTAAAGTGGATGCCACTTGATCGGGATGGCCGGAGCGAGAGGACACTATCGGCTATCCCTTCACACCTGTCGATTGCAAACCGCGCTGATGTCAATCGAATGAGCTGGCCTATTCAATTCAATTTGATTCTCCTTCTACTCGGGTTTAACGGTGGGAATAAATAATGCCGAGGGGAGAAAAATATTCGAACCAAATGGGGAGTGATAATTACACCTGTAGTTTATTTAAAAAAGTGTTTTAATCATTTGGTCTTTTCAAAAATTTATGGAGACCGACGAAAAGTTAATTTTTGTTGTTTAATTTCCTGTAGAACTGTCTCATTTTGAAGAATTTTGCAATTAAAATGGTACATTCTTTCTGATGTTATGCGTTATGGAAATAATGGGATATTTCGGGATTTTATGGGATTAATAGTTTAAAAACCCGATTGAAAAGGTAGATATTTTTTTTTAATTGTGTGAAGTCGAGTGAATTTTACTGCGAGAGATTCAGCTTTTATTTTCTGTATGTCAACAATTCCTTCGTATCAATTATGATTTATTATAACTGTTGATCTATCTCATTAATGATTGATTTCAACCAAAAATGTCAAATAACATTTGCTGCAGGAAAAAAAATTGCTGTAAAAATGTTTTTCACATTTCTCTCTTAAATTATTCGTTATGGAAATCGATAAAAATTTAGAAAATTCAGTAACAACAAAAATAATTAACACACGCAATTTAGAAATGAATTATTTCAATTTTTGTTGTTCAATTTCCTGCAGAATTATGTCATAATTAAAACTAAACAACAAATGAATTAAATCAAAAGATTCCTGTTAATTAAATCAATTAATAATTAATGAATGAATAAAAAACCTCTATTCAACTGTGAATGAGCGTTAAAAATAGTATTTAACTCCCCCAACGTCGAATAATCATTCACATAAAACTCTCCAGCGTCGGAGTCCTGAGCAAATACCTCCAGCATCTCGTAGCGGTCATTCTTTCCTATAATTACTAGAACGAGACGCTGATTTAGAACCCTCACGTAAACGTCGTGACGGAGGATGAAGGAAAAGTCTACCGACTGTGTACCGCACTTCACCACTTCTTCGCCCCCACCCCAGCCCACCCACTCCTTGTGGTTCGTTTCACGAGAATAATGCTAGCACCCTTGGGGACTGTGCTCTCAAGAAAATGCTGATTGATTCCCCTCCCTTTCGCCAATCGTTCTTTCCTCATGCTTTTACATCAGTCTAGTGCTTGATGATTCATACTGCTTATGTATAAATCCTCAGTGTAATGGAAACTAGCTAATTAACTTCGAGGCCAGGAGAATTGAAGATGGACTTCACGTGATGACAACACGATTTGAATAATTGTAAATGATTTAAAATTATTTAGAGAGAAAAATTGATTTCAGAATTTTTTTTCAAAACGTGTGGGTTCAGATATTTATCGGAAAATCAATCGCTGAACAAAAAAGGATATTTTGCCATCTCTCGTACATTCGGAAATATTCCTCAAAAACGCAACTGTGAGATAAGAAAACAAATTATTCCGGACAGGTGAAGTTCTTTTTCCCATGTTAAATGGAACTGTCCATAACGCGACGTTGCCGGAAACTCGCTAAAGGCGCTCTGGCAATGTAGAGTGAATTCGGCAACGCTAAAGCCTAAACAACACGACGGGGAATCCCCGCGGAGGTGACCAAAATCGCAGGGGCGCGTTTGGTGACTAGGGTTAAGGGTGCCAAGTGAATTTGGCGATGACCTTGAAAATTGACATTCACCAACAAAGTTATAATTTTTTTAATTAATAGTATTAGACAGATGGTGAACATCGGTGACAATTTTAAAATTTTAGAACTTATGGATATCGAGAAATAAAATAAACAAAATCAGTCTTATACACGGCCTCTTATGGAGTTTTGATTAAATTGAACGTTTCAACCCCCTAGGAACTCAAGAAAAATTTGAAAAAATTTGAAGATATGGGGAATGATGTGTTCAATGTGATGGCGACAAAAAACAATGGGGTACCGTTGTGAATAAGAGAGATATTTCAACCCGCCGTACCCATTTGATCTCATGCTTTCTCGAGGTTCGTCACGCGAAATAGAGAAGATTTTCCGCATTTATTTTCTCGATGTCTAGTTCCGGTTGCGGGTTTGAAATTTCGTCGGATGGATACATATTTCTCCAATGATGGAGGGAAAGAAAAAATTCTTTTGAATCTTTTTTCAAATTCACTTGGCACCTTTAAGCGTCGAGAAACACGCTAAAATGTAAAAAAACGAAAAAAGACGGCGCCGCACTCTTTGAGCGAGTGATCGAGGGTGAAGGGGATAAATATTATAAGCAAAATTGTGTAAGTGAGGTGATAATGAGGCCCAATTGCCGCCATTCGTAAAATTACTCCCCTTTTTGGCAAAAATACCGGAACATGAAAGAGGTAAAATCGAAGCCATTCAGTCATCGATTTTCACAATTTTTTTGTTCTCTTAGTCTCTTTCAATTCCTTACTTATAGGTTGACGATGAGGAAAATTGCCTCGCAGCTCGCCTCGATGCCTTTCAATTCATTCGCATCTTCCACTTGTACTCGCTCCACCACAAACCCCTCAGCTTCTCCATCTTCCCAGTACTTGGTTCCTTTTCTCCCCTTTGGAAGACAATTAAGTTCCGCTTGGGCCATCCTGACACGTGCAAGCACTGGGGTTTGAGGGAATTTTTTTTGTCGGGTGATGATGGAGGATGAGGGCCCCTCGTATTTATTATTAAAATTGGTACATATTGATTTCAGTGATGAGGTGATGTGGTAATCCGGAAATGGATGGGAATTACTTCTAATGCCTTGTGGGCTTGACGATATCTTGATTTGGAGGGGAAATATCAGAGAGCATTTTTTGTTATTATTTCTCTTTACAATTTTTTTTTCGCTGCTTTTAAAACATTTATGAAAGAAATATCAAAATTAAATTAACAACAAATAACGCGAATTGCCATTTTTCACTTCTTAAAAATAGAATTTAGTTCCTAAGTGATTTTAATTCTGACCATCAATCTTGCGATTCTTCAATATTATTCTTTTATTATTATCTAGGGGTAACCCTAGATTGGTCACCCTATGAGGAAAACCCCGCCGCGCCTCGTTTTTCTTTAATTACAATTGACTGGCTAACCGGAAAAATTCCTAAAATTTTCACATTGTCAATTGAAGTGTCTAAAAAACTACAGTAGTTTTTAGAACAACATATTTCCCAAAATGCCTAAAGAAACCAAATTATTTCGAACAGATGAATTATTTTTTGACATGTTAAATGAAATTGCCACTAATAAAAAAAAATGAAATTGCCATGACGCGACGTTGCCGGAATGTCTCCTAAAGTGGGCGGTTTCAAAGGTAAATCTGGTAGTAGAGGAATTGAATTCGCAATTTTTGCCTGAGACTAATAAAACTATTTTAGCAGGAGAGCTTCCTGGAAATGGATGGGAATTATCAATTTCTAATGCCTTCTCTTGACAATATCTCGACTTCATGGGAAAATAACAGAGAATTTGTTTTGTCGTAATTTTTCTCTACAAAAAAAAATTTCCCCTATTTTCTCAAACATTAAAAAAAACCAGAACCATTTTAAAAAACAACATTCAAATTAAATTGACGGAAAAAAAAGTGAATTTCTATTGTTCACTTCTTAAACGTTGAATTATCATCATGAGAAGTGATTTTAAGACGAATTTCCGAAGCCATTTCTTCTTGAAAATTTAATTTTCTGCAACAAATTCTCCTAGCATTTTCTCCTAATATAAATCCGGGGAATCTGAAAGTCTATCGATGGAGTAAAATTCGGAATTTTTGAGATGTCTGCGACGAGTAAACCAATTTTAGGAAAAGAGCTTCGTCGAACTCACGCGAAAAACATTTTACCAGTCGAAATGTGATTTAAAACAACCTCAGGCTGCTCTCCCTCCAGCTTTTACCCCTCGACATTGACGAAAACACTCTCTGATTTGATTTCAAGGTATCGAAGATCATCAAGCGAAGAATAACCTGGGGAAGATGGCAGGTGCAGCGTGGAGTGGCTGGCTTCAGCGTTGTCGAGAGTCTCGGCAACTCGTCCTCGTGATTGTTGCTATTGCCCTACTTCTAGACAATATGTTACTCACAACTGTAGGTGAGTACATGTATTCCAATAGAAATAATATCCTCAAATGAAGAATACATGGATAAATGGACTTCATTCAAGGATTCCTGTCTTGTTGAATAAAAATTCTGAAATTCTTGATTCAAGATTTTTTTAAATTTAATTCAGCAATAAATATTCTCAATCAAATGTTTAGAGAAATCACTAAATGGAAAATAGTTTTCAACAGTTGTTTCCAATCAAGAATGCTTTCTTTTATTCCGTTTTTTTTTCTTTTCGAATGAATAATCTGGAATTCTTGATTTAAGAATGTTTTTCTTCAATTCAAGAATGAATGTTCTCAATTAAAGCACAAAAGAAATTTTCAAGTGGAAAATACTTTAAACTGATTGTTTTCAATTAAAAATTCTATCTTTTAGTCCAGAATTTTATTGAACAAGAAAAAAATTGAATTAAAAAAATTTTTTTTTTAAGTTAATCTTAAATCTCTGGTTCAAGAACATTCCGTTCTCTCATTTAAGTCACAAATTGAATAATGAAATACTAAAATCCCAATTTCACCGCGAATTGTGAAAAATCCTGAAAAAGAATGATAATCCTGATTCCTCAGACCTCAGCAAATGAAAAAGAGTAAGCCTCCAGTTCAAATAGCTTAATGAAAAAGCTCTTCCCCAGGCTGTTCTCTCTCCCGTAATTATTTCCTCTAATATCGGCGCGGATCTGGCGATAAAGATTGCCACATTTAATTAGGTATCCTTTCGAGTAACAGTACAGGCAAAAGGAAGAAAAAAACCGAAGACGAGAAGAGAGGAGCTGAGTTAAGTTGAACTTGAAAATTCTTTCTCCCCATTGGCAAGTGAAAATAAAACGAGTCGTGAGACTGAGTCCCGACAAAAATGTGAGTTTGAAAATTTTTTCAAGTCCACCAGACCCTTGTCTCCGGGTCTTTGACGATAACTGGTTTTTCTTGGGTTCTTGGACGCCACCAACTCCACCTGAAATAGTGAATAAGGTCAAGTGGCCAACGCCCTCGCACTTGTCATCAACTTTTTCAACTCTTCAAGTCCATTTAGAAGAAAAAGTTGGAAATAAACGGAGGCAAATGGAGTGAACTCTGACTTTATCAATCGGAAAACGATGGAATAATTTTTTTCCTTCCGAATGGAACTATTGTAATTGCTCAAATTTAAGTTATGGATTTTTTGTGTTATATCGACCCATTATGATCGAAAAATTCCGAAAATGCTATTTTTGTCATACAGCTTAAAAAAAATTCTGGCTCATTTAATTGCAGCCCGAGCCTTCGGCAACTCACATTCGCCAAAATATACTATTTTAGACCGTGTCCGTGCGTATCTGTGTGGTAAAGTTTTTCTTCAATTTTTCGCTAATGAATGGATGGAATTGAATCTTTTTTTTTTTAATGTAGATATTGTTGAGCCCTATCGATCGCCATTAATTGAAATTTAATTCATCGATCAGTTTGTTTAATTTTTCAATTTTTTCGAAAATCTGTTGTCCCACGATAACTAAAAAAAAATGTTCTGAATTGATTGAATGATGGCTTAAAAAATTTGTTTGGATGTCCCTTTGACCGAGTTCGACGATGAAGGCGACAGCAATAATCGTTATTTTGATTTATTCGAAAATTTTCAAAAATTTTATATTTTTTGCAAATCAGAATTCAATCATAGCTTAAAACGTTTGTTTGCTTTCTGATGGTTTCATCAGATGTGACGTTTCAAATTCATTCAAGAATGTGTAAATAAAATTTTTCTATTAACTTTTTATCGAAGGGCTTAGGAGAGAGATAGAACTGTAAAAATGGCAATCGGTTGTATAAAAGACAAGGGATAATAAGAGTAATGATACTGATAACTTTCAACGAAGTTGAAAATCTGACGAAATTAGGTAAAGCGAAATCTTATTCAATTTAATAAAATGAAATAAGTATGAAAATGAATTATACATGATAGAAGGAAATGATGTGCAAAATAACCATTCGGAAGCATATTGCTAATTTATTAGCAAAAATAATTATATACTATAAACAAGACAAGAGCAATTTTCCACTTCACGGAGAGAAATATTCAATAAAAATTACGTATGTTTTCCATAATCGGTGAGCGAATTGTGAGTTCCGTAATTTTTACTGAATATCTCACCCCGTGTTGTCTTAATTATTCAGCATGAAATGTCAATGGATTTTCCTTGCAGAGAAGAAAATTTCCGACGATAAATGTCTCTTGATTTGCTCTCCCAACACCCGTACAAAATCACCTTATCAAATTTCGTATCGTAAATAAGTTTCACTCTCGACTGAGCGTTGAGAAAGAAAATCAAACGTTACCGTCTTGTCCCTATGCAGAAACACTCGTAAATTTCATTTCCGTCCGGGGGATTCAGCAGAATTGCCAATCGCATTACGACAGAGTATATGCTGTACAAGGTTATATACCTTCTTCGATCAGTCTCGCTGAGGAAAAATGGATGGGGATTGATACGGGGATTTGTCGACGGGGCATTCCAGTACCTAATAATTTCACGATACATCAAACTATCTTTTTCATTCTCCATAAACATCATTGGGTGGAAAAAATGGTTCCTATATGACCAATTATAGTTAATCCCGGCAATGCAGTCCATCATACGTAATAAAAAGTCGTATTTGTGATTTTACGAATGCACAAATTGTGATGATTAATGCGTTTTAAAAGTAGAACTCGACATTTTATGAATTATTTCAGGAATTTCGATGAATCATCTACTCGAAGCATTTATTTTCATGAAAATGATGTTCGGCAAAGATTAATAATGGAAAATTGGATTAATAAAAATATATTTTTTCAATTTTTTCGCCTGAAAGGAAAGTAGAACTGTTCAACGCCTATCATTATATTTACTATCGCTCATGAAATCGCTTTCTCTAAATTTTTCTACCATTCGTATCTTTCGACCCCCCAAATCTGCAATGATATCTATGATCCATAAAAATTTTTAGTCTTACGAATGTTCAAATTATGATAATTGATGCGTTTTGAACGAAGAAGTCGATGTTTTATAAATTGTTTCATGCATTTCAGTAAATCATCCACTCGAAGTATTTATTCCCATCAAAATATTGGTGTTTTCAATAATTCGTAATAGAGAATTAAGTCAAGAATATAAATTTTCTCATTTTTTCCGCCTCAAAGGACTTTTAAAAATGCTCAACAACAAAAATTGTATCAATCATCATTCATAAAATCATTTCCTCTAGATGTTTCCATCCACGATATAAGATGTGACGGCATGTGGTCAGAATCACTCATTCGTATCTACCTTTCAACCCCCAAAATCTTTAATTCAATAGCTATTAATTCCAAGTCGTCTTCGCCCCCTGAGTGGTAAAAGGATAAGGAGAGGGGATAAAAAATATATAGACACTCAGTGTGTCACGGCTGTACCAATCCAGATAAGTGGTCATGCATTTATGTAGCACCTCCAGATGCTCCAAATGGTGGTAACTTTTTACGCTTATTCTTCACCTCGTGAAATCAAGAGGTTGAAAATAAGATAGATAACCGGAAACTTGAGAGTTATGGGGTGAAAAAAAATTATGACTGGAGGAGCTGGGATTTGAACCCAGGACTTTCAGCATGCGAAGCAGACACTCTACCACTGAGTTACACCCCCAATGTATATGCCCCCTTGAGAAAAAAATTCTCCTCTTAAGCTGAATCACTGGAGATGAGGTACGAATGGAGATGTTTTTTTTTATTTTTGCAGTACCGATTATCCCAGGATTTTTATTTGACATAAATCACCCGAATGGGACGGAAAAGCCGGATGTCTCCATTGGGCACACGACTCAATCAACTGTTGTAAATTCACCTAGCACACCAACTCCACCAGGTAAATGCACGTGTCCGCTGAATGATTCATCTGGCAAGGATCTCCAGTTTCTTCTCAATACTTCCAATGCTGCCGGGCTTACTACACTTGGTGAGTTGAGGCTCTCCAATTTACACTGACGAGACCGAACGCGCGCTACAGCGCGCTATAATTGTAACAATCATAATTGAAAATCTCAAAATTTAGAGAGTCCTGAATTAAAATCAACTGCCTAAGACGACTGTGAAACCAATGAGGAATAAGCGTGATTGAGTTGCGAGATATCGATAGTTATCGACTTTAAGGCCCGGGTGTACTATCTTTCGAACGTTATCTCGATGTTTTTTTTTCATCTTTCGTCATCTGAAATTGTCAATTGAGTTCTGCATCATGCAGAAGTTTTGAAAAATTATGAATAAATAATTTTAAAAAAGTAAAAAGCTCTGATAAGCGACTGCAAAGGTAGAAAAACATTTCACGGAAGAAGAATCGCTAAAGTATTTGGATATCCCGAGTGAATCAAGCGCGGTGAAGTAGATACGGACGTTTTGATCAGACAGAAGGTTTCGATTCTTTGAAATGGTCTCACAAGATGTTTTATATCTCTATTAGAAAATAGAGATTGAAGAATAATATTCGTAAATGAAGAATACATGAAAACAACGGAATTCATTCGAGGATTCCTGCTTTGAATAAAAATTCGTAAATTCCTTATCCAAGAACATTTTTTTCTTCAATTCAAAAATGAATATTTTTAGTTGAAGAATGAAAAAAATTTCTCAAACGGACAATATTTGGAAATAGTTGGCTTCAATTAAAAATACTGTCTTTTATTCCAGATTTTTTTCTCTTGTTGAGTAAAAATTCTGGAATCGCTGATTCCAGAAAATTCACTGGAATTTCGGATAAATAGAAATAATAATGTTTTCTGTGCAAAAAAAATCTCCGAAAATATCAGTAAAACCGTAAAATTATTGAATTGACCTGTTGAAGGTTCGACATCGCCGACCCTCAACCTCTCCTCCACTCTAGAGCCAAAGAAAGAAATTCGCCACAAAGAACTCCTGGAGGAAACCGTAGCCGTTGGTATGATGTTTGCGTCCAAAGCTTTTGTTCAGTTGTTGACAAATCCCATTGTTGGTCCTCTCACACACAAGTATGTCCCATTTCTCATTCTCTCCAAAAGGATGACTGAATACCCTTCGAAATTAATCACTCGGATTTTCCGCAGGATTGGTTACAGCATTCCGATGTTCACCGGCTTCATCATAATGTTCCTTTCGACTCTTATATTTGCGTTCGGTCGGAGCTACAGTATTTTATTCCTGGCGAGGGCTCTTCAGGGGATCGGTTCTTCCTGCTCTAGTGTTTCTGGTGATTTCAAAAATTATCTTCATGACGGTTTCGTCAATTCCAAATTATTCATTCAATTCTATCTATCCCAATTTAAATTTATCAATATTTCAATACAATATGATTTTGAGATCAAATAAGTCATCGAAATTTTAGATATGAACAGAGATCGGCATAATCTTGAATTTTAAATCAAATTAAATTTTGAATTAGTCAATTGGTTAATATTACTCAACAATAGTTGAATTATTAAATTAATCATCAGTTAAATATTGAAATTCCAAATTATTTTATCAATCAGTAATTGAGTTCGGAAGATTGACGATTATTTGGTTAATCGAAAATCCTTCTATAAAATTTAGAACTATTTACGCAATTCCATGATTAATTATTTTAAGGGGCAACTTCTGTTCATATTAGTAATCTACTGATCGATGTCAATTCCTGGATATCACTGAGAATTCACTGAAAACCCAAAATGTGATAAAAGTTGACAAAAAATATTCCGGAAATTTTACCCAAAAATATCTAACGTCATAATGAAAATGAATAAACTCATCCCAATTTCTGTAATAATTCTTGACACGTGTTATATTACAGCAATTAGATTAAATAATCAATTTCAGGTATGGGAATGTTAGCTGAGAGATACCAAGACGACAAAGAACGGGGGAATGCTATGGGAATAGCCCTCGGAGGTCTGGCCCTGGGGGTGTTAATAGGTCCACCCTTTGGAGGTGTTATGTATGAGTTTGTTGGTAAATCAGCACCTTTCCTCATACTGTCCGCACTAGCCCTCGGTGATGGATGTGAGTTGAATAAAAAACCCCCGCAACAACTAAAAAAATCGACAACCCATTATAGGCCTTAATTAATCAATGACTTTGTGTGCAGTATTGCAACTTCTAATGCTCCAGCCCTCGGTCGTCTACACAGAATCCCCGCCGCCATCTCTGAAAGCCCTCATCTCAGATCCTTACATTATTATAGCTGCTGGTAATTCACGATCGATGATCATTTCGAATTATTAAGGGGAGACTACTATGAGTTTTGAAACTCGCGGGCCATTGGAATGAGATTTATCACACACAGAGAAATGTTCCGTAAGAATTACGGAACTCAAAATTCCCTCACCGCACGGAGAGATATATTCAATTAAACTTACGTATCTTTTCCGTAATTCCAGAGCGAAATGTGGTTGTAGGAAATTTTACGGAATTTTTATACAATTGTCATTGTATAAAATAAAATGCAATAAAATAAAAAAGTATACATTTTCAACAATTTTGGAAAAAAAAACTCTGTAGCTCAAAAATTGGAGGCCCTGGACTATTTTTAACACTTTAAGCGTCTGCGGGGCAAACGAACAACAAACAATTAATTTTTTTTCACTAATTATTCATTTGTAGACATATCTTTCATTTGTAAATAATCTTCAATGTATGAGAAATCTCATTCCGACAGCCTGCGACTTTTAAAACTCATAATAGTCTCCCCTTAATTCGTGCCAATGAATATTAACAGGTCTAATTTTTAATTGCCAAATTTTTTATGGCTCGCAGGGGCTATAACATTCGCCAACATGGGAATAGCGATGTTGGAGCCGAGCCTACCGATCTGGATGATGGATACGATGAATGCAAAACGGTGGGAACAGGGTGCTACATTTTTACCTGCTAGTATCAGTTACTTGATTGGTACAAATCTTTTCGGTCCTCTAGGCCATCGAATGGGGAGGTGAGGCAATTCTCATGATTTATCGACTATCACTTGGCTTCATTATCAAATGGTATTTGCAGGTGGCTAGCTTCATTAATCGGTCTCGTTGTCATTGGTTTCTGCTTGATGTGTGTAAGTACCAGTGAACTTCTAAAAGTCTCTATATATCAAAATCCAAAAAGTTTTTCTTCTAAAATCTCTATGTGTCATAAAAATCCAAATCGGCTTATGCGCTGAGAGAAAAATATAATTCTTCTGATTATATTCCATCACCATCGAATTGTAGTCAAAAAGTTCTCAACAATTTTTCATGGGTTACGGTAACTATGGCCGGAGAAGTAATTACTACAATGGAATGTAGTCATTGCAACTATTTTATAGTTCTCCTCACGATAGATCTGTCGTGGTTACTTTTGAACTTTGGTTATTTTAACTGCATTTTGATTTGTAAAAATTACGCTTTTGAAGTTACTATAATGTTATGTGCCGCATACAAAAAAAAATCGTATCGTTCACCAAAATGCCTCAACCATTTTCTTATTATAAATCGAACTTCAGATTTTTCTCTCAGTGTGGGAATCCCGGAAAAAATAGACCAAGGGAAGTTTTCAAGTTGGGTCGTTGAGTGGGTTTTAACACGTTTTGGATGTGTGGGCTATTTTTTTCTCGTCTACTTTTTCCTCCTACCGACTTCTGGTGATGAAAATTCGGTACTCGAAATTACTATTCCAAAATTAAGGGTCAAAAGTGAGGGGTCACAAGCGTCAAAATAGGGATGACGAGGATTATAGTAAGGGTCACAATCAGGAATGGCCATCAATCACAGAATTCTTCAACATTAACAGAATTTGTGACTTACATTGATTAAGGTTTAAGTATACTCATGCTAAATAAAAAAAAAAAGTATACTCATGGAAATTAAAAATTGTAGAATAATTGATAATATGGAACTGTAAAATTTTCTATTAACTAAATAACCCAATAATCGTCAATCTTCCTACAAATTATTGACTAACAAAATAATTCGAATTTTGAATATTTAAATTGATAATTACTGCGGTAATTAAAAATTGAAGAGTGGTATTAACGAACTGATTACTTCAAAATTTGACGGTAATTATAGTTTATGAATATGGTTATCCCTGGTCAGAATAAGGGTCACAAGGGTCACGAGGGTGATAGTGAGGGTCGGAATAAAGGTCCCGAGGGTCAGATTAACGGTCACAAAGGTCAGAATGAGGTTCCAAATAAGGGCCATGGGGGTCCGACTGGGGCTCATATGGGAGTTGGCGATCAATAAAATGATAAATGAAATGATGATGAATTACTTGAATATAAAAAAGATTTCAGCTTCAAACATAACGAATGAAACAACTGATTGAAGGACTGTGCTATTCATTGAAATTTTTCTTCGCAGATACCTCTCGCCACACATATTGATCACCTCATAATCCCCAACGCTGGTCTGGGTTTCGCCATTGGCATGGTTGACAGTTCAATGATGCCTGAGCTCGGTTATCTAGTCGATATACGGCATTCAGCGGTTTATGGAAGTGTTTATGCCATTGGGGATGTTGCATTTTGCCTTGGTTTCGCCATTGGTGAGTCCACTGTCCCCCATTCGATTTCATCGGTTTCACTAAATTTTTTTAAACCAAAAATGGAATTCAGAACTCAAATGGGCTAGTTTTCAATGAATATCTCGGAATCTAAGCGAGATAGCAGATTTTCCGTCAGGACCTTTTTTGCAGCCCTCAATTCGCTCTACAAAAAAGGTCATTACGAGAATTTCGTTATCTCTCTTAGATTCGGAGATATTCTTCAAAAACTCAGGATTGAATTTGTCACTCAAATTCCACTTGACTATTTATCACGAGTCACCGATTCGAATGAATTAATTGGGATTCTTTTAATTAATGTTCAGGTCCTGCACTAAGTGGTACACTAGTCAACACCATAGGATTCGAGTGGATGCTCTTTGGCATCGCAATCCTCTGCTTTTTGTACGCTCCACTCATGTACTTCCTGAAGGCACCTCCAACAAAAGAAGAGAAGAAGGTTCTCATCCCCTCAAACAATTACTGCATGCCAATGAAATACAATTTCCCAAGGCTTCGTACTTAATTCCTTTATCTCTCCTTTCAGTCCCTCATTATCGGGGAAAAATCATCGGTGAGGTACGTGACTTACTCCAACGAGGAAGACGAGCAATAAGGGCATTAGATTTTTTTATCCTCCGAGATTTCCGATGTATTTTACTTAATGTTAAACCTCTTGAAGGCAGAAAGTCATTACTCGATAATTTTTAATTCTTCGTGTCTGTCTAGGGATTATCTTAACCACTTAATTACGCAGTAGTGAAGTGGTGAAGAGTCTTTGATAAATATTAATTTATACGGAGTGTTATTTTTATCCGACGACTGGAAAACAATTATTCCCACAAATTTCAACGTCTCTGTTATGTTTCGAGGCTTTTTACTCCAATTTCAATATTTTTCAAAGGCTATTTCGTCACTTCAAGACTCTAAATCGCAGAAATAAATAGGTTTTCGTTGAAAATATGCATGATGCATGTTCGTGGGCTATGTGTACCGTCATAAACTAAGGGAAACCACCAAATAACCGATAACCAGAGACGAAAATACGCTGAGAGAAAAATGTTGTAAAACGGGGGGATTATTTTTTGACTCAAACGCTCAGTGCTTTTCGATAGTGCCAATGAAACACGGAATATGTCGTCACTTTTAGTCGATTGTATGATTAAACTATCCTTCAACAGTTGATTCTGAGGGCTACAATCGATCATATATTCCTTCGTATTCCTCGAATATTTCATCGAATTTTAATAGTTATTGGATTGCATCACATTCCGGTGATCTGAAACCTTATTGTAGGCGATTTCAACGGAATCGTATTCAATAATATATTTTGAATGAAATAATGCCTCATTTCACGCACGAAAAAATTTAACAGAAAACCTACTGAATTCGTTAGAAAATTTTATTGGCATTTTACTGAATTTTCTATTAGTTTTTGGCCGATTCTACTGAAATATTCAATAGAGTTAGATTTTTCTATATAACTTATTCTCGTGAGATATTTTCTGCAGAATTTCCCCGGCTCAAATTTTCAAGTTTTTTTCATTCTATTTGTTTTTCTTATCATCAAGAAGATCGAATAAAAAATCTTTAGAAATTTGAGCTGAGGAAATTCTATAGAAAATATCTCAATGAAATAGGTTGCATAAAAAAAATCGAATTCATTTGACTTTTTCCATATAATATTTTCTGTTGAACATTTCAATAAGATCGGCCAAAAACTAATAGAAAGTTCAATAGAAAACTAGTGAATTGGCTAAAAAATTCTATTGCAATTCTATACTAATTCTATGGGGTTTCTATAGGATTTCTATTGGAATTCTATTGAAAAATTCTATTTGTTTTTTGTGCGCATTCTCTTTCTATTTGAATTTTTCTCTTGAGATTTTTTCTGTAGGAAAACTTGGGCATCAATTTTCCAAGTTTTTTCCACTCGGTTTCTGCAATGCAAAACAAAAAAAAATCCAGCGGAAAAAACTTGGCAAAATTGCGGTAAATAATTCTGACAGAAAAAATCTCAAGAGAAAAATTCGACTAGAAATTCGGAATCTATCGATTTTTTCTTATCGAATATTGAATAGAACCAGCGCAAGAAACAAATTGAATTTTTCAATAGAATTCCACTAGAAATCCTATAGAAATGCCACAGAATTCACTCTTCACTCTTGAAATGAAGAATTAAAAAGTTGAAACAACGAAATTCTGTTTTGATACGAAAGAACGTGTATCCAATAGCATATATTCCGTAGAAACCACGATATTTTTCTCTCAGCGTATGCGTGGAGGGGTATGAGAGTGAGTCTGGTGTATTCGGAACAAGCGGGCTGATGATAGCAAATAGGAGAAAATCAAACTAACGTATTCCAAGGTATAAAACTATAACTAACTTTATAAGTAGCTAGCGAAGCATTGAATCCGCCACAAAAGTAACAAGTGATATAAGTGCAAAATACGTCATCCGAGGGATGGAAAGTACGAGGGATTCGACGGGTAATTAACGCAGTCGATGAAGAGTGTTATTGTCTCTCGGGGACATCGAGTTGTCGTCCAAATTCTTAAAAAAAAATTCAATGTGGAACCGCCTGGCGAGGATTCCCTGAATGGCTGCAGGGAAACCGAGCGAAGCAGTCAGGTCTCATGAAGAGTTCCTCAACTAAATCAAAATAAATAAATTCGGCGAGTGGAAAAAATCGGGGATATGCACCCCGCGATAACTCGATGTCTCCCCGAAGCAACAGTTGAAAGTACCGATATCCAAAGTTCAGGTAAAATCGCGAGGAATTGGACAACCCGAAAAGCTGAAAGACGATGTTCACAGGAATAGGCGCGAGACATTCGTCATTGTGTTCAGGGAGACGTGGGGGTGAAAAATTTACGTGTGACGACGAGTCCTCCTCGAGAAACTGATCCCCAACAAAACGAAAAACCAAAAAAAAATTAGATGAAGAGGATTATAAGGTAGAAATCAGTAGGATTTAGTTAGTTAAGAGTAATAAAGATACTTCGCTTTCGCATTGCAAGCTCTATCGATGGAAAACTGTTCTCAATGTATTTGAATCGATGTCGACCACTTGTTGTTAGAAACTAGGGATTAATGGCACAAATAATAATCGTTACTGTCGTGTATTTACCGATCATGTTCTGCGTATAACGTTCAGATCTTATGACCTACCTATTTATGAAAATTTCGGTTGATTTTAGAGTTAACGATTTTAATCGAGGGATTGGGAGAATAAACACCTAGGAAGATCATTGTCATTGGATGATACACTATTATACTATCGTAGGCTAAAGCGCTGGGTTCCACTGAGGAGTAGCTAGAATAAGGTGTTAAGGGGGAAGACAGTTTCTCGGGGTTTACTCTGGAATTATTTATCGGTTGCTACGGCAGCTACTCCTAATACGAAATGCGAGTCAATTTAAGTCAGGAGGTCATTGGAAATTGGTGATTATTGTGACACGTTGACGAATGTCTCCCAGCATCGTGCTGTGAAGGATGATGAGTGAAGGTTCTCAGAGACTGCACGATGATAAATAGATTTATCCTTTCTGTATGAGGTATTCCAGGTCAAGTGAGTCAACGGCTGACCCTCACCCTCTTGGAAACCGATCTCAATTTTTTCTACCATTGGGGGAGAAAAATATCTCAATTTTTTCAGATTTTTTTAACAGCCCATTTCGAAGATATGATTTTTTCTTTTTTTTCGTTTTTTAGTAACTCCCGTTTTATTCAGCCGATTTTGATTTATGACACGTCGAAATTTTCGATTTACGGCCATTTATAGGAATATTTTGAGTATTTTTTTTTTCAATCTCTAGGTGCTCATAATACCGAGTTTTCAAAAAAAAAAAAAGTTGAAAAAGTTGAATTTTCAAAAGTATGTCACGTTTTATTTTTCTCTTGACTTTGATTACAAACAGTATGAAGTGAATTTAAATGTATACTTGTATGTTACATATTTTTTTCATACTTAATCGAAGTCGTTTTATGGTGTTCTGTTCAAATTCGCGGAATATCGAGAAGAAAAAATTAAAAATAAAATAGATCCAGGACAAAACCCAACTTGTATGACAGCTCAAAATACTTATTTCAATTATAAGAGTTACTGAAAAAAAAAGATAAAAACAAAAAGTGACATAATTTTAGAAATTTGTTTTTCAATTTAAAAAAAAAATTGGTATTATGAGCACCTAGGGATTAAAAAAAATACCGAAAATCTTCTCATAGATGGTATAAAAAGGAAAATTTTGAGCCGTCATAGATTGAAGTCGGCTGGATAGAGCCCGAGTTATTGAAAAAAAGCCGAAAAAGCAATGAAAAATCATATTTCCGAAATGGTTTGTCGAAAAAATCTGAAAAAAATTAAGAGATAGTCTTTCTACCCCCCCAATCGTCGAAAAAATCAACATCAATATCCAAAATACCTCGTATGTATAATAGAAGAGATTAGAACATATTAGAACAGCTTAGAACAGAATATTCCTGCGCATAACTCCTTGATTTCTCTATAAAAAATAATATTCTAAGTTGATTGAAATCTGTACAAATCCATTTGTGCTTTGGTACGTAGCGAATAAATGACGTAAAATTAATTATAATCGGTGTAGTAATTGCCGAGGCTCATTCGAATTGCCGATGCAATCAGAGAAAAAAAATTTATATAGAATGGAAGTAAGAGCTTGTGCATGAGAGGAACTGGGCCACGTGGCTTCGGACATATCGATCATATATTGGGCATACAACGAACATTTAAAGGGGCATTGTGTTTATATTCAGTCAACTAGGGTTAACGATTGATGATTATTCGAGTGATTATGATTGTGCGAGATGGGGGATGCGGATTATTCATGTATCCACAGCATTAATATCGGGCTGCTATTGTGAACAGACAATAAGCAATGAATCTAAAAGTGACTAGAGATAATTAAAAAGAATAATTGTTTACGTAACTGATTGAATTATGGGTAAAAGGAGTTTCTGGCTTTCTACAATTTTTTTTATCAGCCTGCTTCGAGTACTAACAATCATGTAATGGTTTTTTTAATTGTTCCGTGTCTCTCTTCTCGTAATCCTTCCACCAGTTGATGGCCAGTTGGATTAATTAGTTACGGAGAATGATGATGAGATTAATTTGTGATTATTTGCGGATGGAAAATTCATGGAAAAGTTGAAACGATGTTTTAAACGTTAATTATAAATATGTAGAATTAGTAATGAGCTGGTGCATGGGTCCGATAAAATGAGCAGAGGCAGAGCAACTGATGAAAATCATCGAAATATCGTCCTCTACGTAATGTTTTCAGTTTCATATGTGAATTTATCGAGTTTTAATGATTAATTATAGCGTCGTAATACTGAAAATAATGTATTGTGTAATCTTGGGCTTGTTAAATGGTATGTTGTGATGGATTGTGGAGTTGTTGGGACGACAGAGGCTAATGTGTAAATTGCATTTTCTGGGTATCATACGCTGTAACAGTTATTAATCGAATAAACAGATAGTTGTCGTTAATCAGGCGTTATTTATTTCCCATTATTCCAAGTGAATTTCATTGTCTTATTTAGTTACCATTCTTGATGCAGAGTTTCAGAGGTTTTTAGTGGTATTTCTTTCACTTTTGAAACTGCTAAGAAAACGGCATTGAATGCTTCAATCACCTTATCTAAAAATTAACGAATGAATAATTACTCTAATTATTTAATTTTTAGTCTTACTTAATTCAGGAGAGAGAGCAGTTGAATTAATTTTTTTGATACGATTATTCGTCTTCTTCAAGAGGGATTTGTTCAGATGGATCTGAAGATGAAACGAGAGGTTCATACTTTTTTATTTATCATCCATTCCCCATTATTTTAACTGAATTTTATTTTATTTTTTGTTTCCATTCTTGATGGAAAGTCTCCAAGGTTTTTGGTATAGTTTCTTTCACTTTTGAAATTGGTGACAGGGTGGCATTGAACGCTTCAACCACCTTATCTAAAAATAAACGAATAAATAATTACTCTTATAATTATTTAATTATTAGTCTTAGACTACTTTACTTTTTAGTCTTAATTCAGGAGAGAGAGCAGTGAAATCTGCAGTCTGATCGATATTTCTTCAGTGGAATTAATTTTCTTGATACGATTATTCGTCTTCTCCAAGGGAGATTTGTTGAATTGGATTGGTTGGAAGAGGGCAGACAGTTGAATCTAAAGATAAAACGTGAGGTTCAGATTTTTTTATTGATTTCGTATGGATTTCACAGGGCAATTACCACTCGTAATGCAGAGTTTCCGAGGTTTTTGATATAATTTCCTTCACTTTTGAGACTGTTGAGAGGGTGGCATTGAACGCTTCAACCACCTTATCTAAAAATAAACGAAGAAATAATTACTCTTATAATTACTTACCTTTTAGTCTTACTTAATTCAGGAGAGAGAACAGTGAAGTCTGCAGTATGATCGATCCCTGATACTTTTCCAGTGGAATTAATTCTCTTGATACGATTATTCGTCTTCTCCAAGAGGGATTTGTTCAGTTGGATTTGTTGGGAGAGCGCAGACAGTTGGATCTGAAGGTGAAACGAGAGGTTCAGTCTTTTTAATTGATTTCGTATGGATTTCGTGGGGTATTTACGTCGATATCGGTGTCCCTTGGCACACGCAACTCCACGTCGTCTGCGATATTGCTGAGGAATGTGAAGGGCTCCACAGCCTCTGTCCTCACTCGATCGATGGATCTCTTCAGGTCTTCGTAGGAGAGCTCGTCCACATTTTGAATTTTCAATTCATTCACTTCTCTTTTTTCACTAGCACTCGATTTCGAATTTGTCTCTCTATAAGTAGAATTATTTATTGACTGTGGCGTATTCTCCTGGGCTTTTTCACTCATCATGGGGTGCGGTTGGATACCAATAATTCGTTTAATCGATAAACTCCAACTTCAGAGAACGAAATTAATAAAAAATATCAATTCGGGCAATAAACTGAGCATTAAATGGCGTCGCTTTCAGTCTAACTCTTCATTTCATGCGAAATCAATGAATTTTCCCAATTAAATTTCGATGAATTCAGCTATAGACATATTTTTTTGGTTTTACACATTTTATTACTTAAAGATTTATCTCAGCACACTATTCAGCGTGGCTTATAAAATTTCTCATTACACATTTCGATTGAAATCCATTGACTATCCTTACATTATCACTTACAAAACATTACGAAGGTCGGTGAGTTCAATAAAAATCTAACGAGTCCCCTTCACAATAGCTGGTAAACTCAACACATTATAATTAAGTTTAATTATAAACTAATGGCCCTAGGACATTCGTTATATCTCTAAAATTTCCAACTAATATGAAATGAAGAATTCGTACGAAACTATAAAATTATCGACTTCCTTTCTGTTCTGCTCTGCTGTCTCCTTAAACATAACTTTCTACAATTTTTATTATACAATTGGGCTTTGCACGAAATTCTTTCACTGAATAAGAGATGAAACGTGAAAAAATAATGGATACGTATTTCGTTATGCTAAAAATACGTGTCCAAATAATTTTTTTCAATCTTAATTTCCAAAAATCGAAGAATTTCGTGAAAAACTTCAATTGTAAACCGATAAATATTGATTTATTCCAACAATAATATCGCAGTTCAGAAGTAAATGAGTCTTGCGTCCTCTGGATTTTGCTCCACGGGGCAGTACGGGCACTTGAGTCTGGAAACGAATTGATTCCTTTGAAAAAGTGATTTCGATATCATTGTACTTATGGCTTAACTTATGCGAACGACGTACTTGTTTGAGTTCGTCAATTTATTAAGTGCATCTCGGGATATCACGTGACCACACACCAATTTCATTGGGGGATTATTCTCAGTGCTCTGTTGACGTAATATGGGGCAGGCGAAGACCGAGTGGTAACGACTCTGTTTGCCCAAGTCTATTTCAATCTGAAATTGAAGGGACAGTGTTAACAGGAATTTTGTATTCAATTGATTTTTTTATTCTTACTGGAAGCTCGTCCTTTCCATTCCAAATTCCAGTGACTTGTCTCTGCTGCATTACTTGCTTTATGTTGAGTAATGCAGGCAGTGCTGTGCATCCTGCGTTCACACTATAATTAAAAAAATAGATTTAGATATTTTGATATTTCTTTTCTTCATCATGTGATGCTCTCTTCTCCGAAATGATTATTTTTGAAAATAATTGAGCATTTATTTATTAAAATTAATGATTCTGCAGTTGAATAAATATTTAAGAAGTGATTAGTCGTTAAATGAATTTTAAATCACACTATAAATAAAAAAATTGATTTAGATTTTTTTTTTCTTCATCGTTTGATGCACTTTTCTTTAAAATGATTATTTACCAAAATAATTGAACCTTTATTGAAGTAGGATTGAATAAAATTAATGATTCAGGAGATGAAAATCATTTTTAAAATGTTATTAGTCGTTGGGTTAATTTAAAGTGATAAAAAAAGAAAAAAATGTCAAGGGTTTCAGATTAAAAATATGTTTACCACACAGACAATGGGCTATCCACACTCAGGCCCAACAAAGTGCACGCCTCTTTGGTAAAAACATCGTGAATATCCAGCCATAATGTTGGATCCAATAGATGACTGTAGGGTGACGCCTGTATTCCATTGGGCAGATACAACAGGGTCCCCATCAAGGACTGCACCTCCTTCTCATGACGATTAACAAATTGCGTTAAATGTTTTCGTGCGTACATAACAGCCTCAGCTTGACTGCTGGGACCCTGTTCCACTAGTCTTATGAATTGTAGTCTATGAAGTTTAAATTCTAAGGATGAATTTTGGGCGAGGAGTGCATCTCTGTGGTTGTAAGTCCATTCCAAGGCTGGCTCGAGATTCCTCTGCTTTAGACAATCGAGTATGTAGTTCAGTTCTGTGAATGGCTCTTTCCTTCCTTCATCAGTCTTTATTCCGGTTTCCTGAAGATGAATAATAACGATTTGTCTTTAATCTTCAATATCTTCGGAACGAATGGAAGAATTTTGATGAAACAAAATTCATTTTGAAGTTTGAAAAATTATCTGGAGAGCAAAGCAAAGTTGGTGAATTTCACTCTGCCAATCTCGAGATATTCACAATTGAAGATGCTCCAGTGTGAGCAACATTACGTGTATTCAATCGTAAATATCTTCACATCAGCTGAGTGAAATCCAACGATTTTTATTTCATTTTCAAGATAATTTTTTAATCATTGAAATAAAATTTGATTCGTCCAAATCGCTTCATTTATTTAGGAGATATTGACGAACTAAGGTCAATATCACCCCATCCTCTCTTATTATCGTTATCAACAATACCAAAAGAAAATTAATTGTCTTTAATCTTCAATATGATCTCACCAAACGATACGATTTCAATAAATTACAAATCATTTTAAAACTTGCAAAATCCCGTTCTCCCATTTTGAAAATAATTTTTCAATCTTGAAAATGAAATTTGATTCATCGATACAATTCACCTCAATAAAATAATTTTTTTCATCCAAATACATACAGCAGCGAGTTCATCCGCAATATCCAACATTCCTTGACGATAAAAATGCTGACAAATGACTTGATTCAACAGATGTGTCTTCTCGGCACTGTTGAACACATCTTCCCTACTCGTGCTAGCAAAATCAGCAATGAAATTCCTGTCAATAGCCTTTCCAACCTTGGAGACTGTGCTGTGAGACTCACGATGATTAGTAGCCAAATCCTGAACAGTGTCACGCACTTTCTTCATAGCTTGCTTGAGTATTTGCACTTGACTCGGTGTCAGCTCTTGTTCAGGTGGAGCTAGACAATTCCAAGGGCACGAAAACACGAGATAATGAATGAAATTATTCCAGTGCCTACGAGTAAATGGTGCCAGTGGCCTTGACAGATGCAAAACATTTTCTAAACACTGGATTGACGCCTTATCTCTTTGTTCTCGGCGTAAAAACTAAACGATTATGTGATGATTCAGTGATAAACATACCTTCCTCCAACTCTCGTTTCAACGTCTCAATCTCATTGATCAAATCACTCAACACTTCACCAGCCTTCTCATTGATATCATCAAATTTACGCAATACCTTGTCGAGCTCACGCTCAACCGTATTACACGCCTCCATGATTATCCGTGAGCGAATTATTTTGACTGTTCGGTGATTCACTGTGGGGGATGAAATTGTGATTTTTTTTTATTTCCGAGATGTGACTTGCAGTAGTTCTGGGAGTTATAGAAACACTGGGTAAAAATACTGGACTCGACGATTTTATTGTGACACTAATAATCAATAATACAGAGCAGCGCCATCTTTACTTCTTCGGCTCTGTGGATAATGTCAAACCCTAGTCTATTGACATTCCACGATTATTCTATTTACTCAGTCAGTTTTTGCTCAATATCTCGAAATCTGGGAGAGATAGCGAAATTTTCGTTAATACGTTTTTTGTGGAGGAAATTGAGAGCTACAAAAAAGATTTCGACAGGAATTCCGCTATCTCTCTTAGATAACGAGATATCGTAAAAAAACTAATTCTAGTTCTTGAACTACTTCATTTGTGAGTAATTAAATTGTTGGGATTTTTCTCATTATTCTAGGGGATTTTATTGAGACATTTCGCATCATCCAGACAATTATTTTATTCAACTATAATAGGTTATATTTATATACACATCATTGACTCGAAATAACTCTTTGTTTTGATAAATAAAATTAATCGATGATGAATACTCTGAACATTTTTCACAATTATACATGGGGAGTTCTCCCCTAAACTCTCAGGAATGATGGTCAACACACTCGTATTTCTCACGGTAAATTAACAGTTTGGAGTAAAAGGAATTAACAGTGGAATAGTCTAGATCTTGGGCTTGGTTGGATCCGTTGTAACTGCATTCGATATTATTTGCATTTCATCCTGGAACAATTGATTAATTCAGTAATTTCATGTTTCAGGGGAATACTGAAATGTTTTGGAGAGGATATTCTTACCCATTCACGTGCCATCATCAGGAGTGTGTGGCCGTCCAGCTTGGGACCTACTAGGGGATTCATTTGTGCCATGTAGCAGCATAACCAGCTGAAGTGAAAAAAAATATTTTAAAAATTACCAAAAATTAGTGTTGAATTATGAATTCAGAGTCTGTGGGCTCTACTCACAATAACCAACACGTAAAGGCTGTCAGCATCAGAATAACTTGTAGAATACTGGAATGAATCATCGTTTGAGTTAATGTATTTCGGTGGAGTGAAATGAACCTAGTTTAATTACCAATAACTCCAAAGTGGCAGAGTGAATTTCTCCCATTTTTTTCTCATTTTGAAGACATTTTTTCAAGCTTGAAAATGAAACCTGACTCATTCAAATTGCATCATTCATTCGGGAGATATTAACGATTTCATGAAAATTAGTCTAATTCACCTGGATAAAACGATTTGTCTTTAATTGGCAATAACTCCGGAGTGGCAGAGTAAACTTTTCTCATTTTTTCTCTATTTTGAAGGCATTTTTTTAAGCTTGAAAAGGAGACCTGACTCGTAGAAATTGCATCATTTCTTCGGGAGATATTAGAGATTTACGGAGATCTTGACCTTTCGTATGAAATATAGAATTGTGGATCAAGAGTGACTTACCTACGATTCGGTCCCTTTGGAACGAAAAAAGGGAGTACGATGCCCACTCCACCCCAGAGAGCGGTAAAGAACACCACTGGAATTGCAGAAGCTCCCATTTTTCACTCTACAATATCACTCTATCAAAAAATAAGCTTGAAACTGAGTTTATTCCACAGACGAACGTTTGTCAATACTTTCGGGCGTTCTTCACTGATTCTTGGGCTTGGGATAGTCACACAGCAGGCCAGTCACATGAATCGAAAATGACCGAAGTTGGCCGAGTGAATATCGACTGTAGATATTGTTGTTTTTTTTCAAAATTTCCTAATTTCCATTTTTTTTCATGAATTATTACCTAGCGTCTAATTAATTAATACAATTCACGATGTTTCTTTCATATTTATAATAAATTGTCTGCACCACTGGATATTTTCACCACATATCTATATCTGATTTCATAATCATCTTGATTATGCATATAATGAATTCTTCCTCAATCCAGCCGCCTATTTTTTTCAAGGTCTCCGAAAAATCTGAAAAAAATCAGGGGTTTAACACTCATCAAAAGTACTCTCTATGAATTTTTTCAGATTTTTTCAAGTATCCGTGATGGAAATAGATGGGTCTGAACAAATTTCGAAAAAAATTGATATCTGGAGAAGTTGACCTCTGAGAAAAAAAAAGTTTGGAACAAGAAATATAGATTTTTACCTGAATTTTTCAAATAATTTTCTTATATTATAGAAAAAAAAGGGGGTATAGAGAGTTTAAACTCTAGAATTAGCTGAAAAATTCAATTTTTACACATTTCGACATTTTTGTTTTTCTTTAAAAAGATTGAAGTAATATGACGGATGTATTCGATGTAATTTTGACGGATGTAATTTTCGGATGTATTGAGAAAGAATCCGTTATGTTAGTTTTTACATAATCATTGAAATACTGTAAATAATTATGTATTTTTACTAATTCGTGACCCTATAATTGGCCTTAAATAAATAAATGAATAAACAAAAAATTCTTTATTGAACAAAATTATTCCCTGAACATTGGAATCTAATCCATGCAAAAATTCAAATTACATCAATAGAAATAGCTCCACAATTAAAACTCAAAGTGAAAAAAGAATCAATTAACATCTGCCTTCAAAACCTCCAGTTTCTTCTCAATCTGTCGAATATCCCCGATCCTCTCGGGAGTCTCCACAGCAGAAGGTGCGTCGCCTCCCCCAATGCTCGAGTACTGGCTCATCCTCTCGACCCCAAACGACGAGTCCCCCACACTCCCCTCGTCGCCGCCCCTCGACGAAAAAGAACTCGACATCCTGGACAACTGATCAAGAATCCCAGTCAAGTTCCAGCTCTCAGAAGTGAGATCCAAGTCCCTGCCACTGTCGAAGCTCTCCCTGGAGAAGAGGTGCTGCCTGACGCACGTCAAATCCCTCTTCAAGATGTTGGCGTTCTTATTATCCTCTGTGTTCTTATTCTCATCATTCTTCCCCCGTCCCTGAGTCTTCGGGGTCCTGTACATGATGACTGTCCTCTCCGTCCTCATGGTCCGCCCCTTCTCGATGTAGGGTATCAAGCACGAGAGATCGACCTGCGATTTCTTGGTGCTTCCCCTGGACTGAATGGAGACAATCGGTTTGTGTGTCTTCACAGTGTAGGGAGTTTTCACAAAGGTGAGGGTCCCCTCGTCCCTCGGCAAGTCCTGACCCCTGGAGGAGACGTTCAAACTGCACTCCCTCCGACTCCTGGACTTCTCAGACAACCCACTCGCCCCTTGGGAGCAGCTCATGACGACCACCAGGGCAGGTTGCAGACACCTAACAACATTCACCACGAGTTCACACCTCTTGACGACCCTCAGCTGCTGTGGCTCCGTCGGTTTACCCTTCAACAAACTCTTGGAGGCAGCATCAGCCTCGAAGATGGCAGCCTTCAGCTCTCGAATCATCATGATGGTCTGCCTGTCGACCCTCTCCCTCCCAACATCCTCAACAGCTGTGGTGATCTGAGTCGCCAGGGCGCAGGCCCTCTGCACGACGACCTGCACCTGCCCCTGGGTGATCCCCTGGCGATTGTCCAGGTCATCCGATATCCTCTGGACTCTCTCCTGCAGGTCATCCAGGACCACCTGACAGAAAGCCGAGGAATCGATGATCAGGTCTATTGCATTCCTCAGTTTATTCATCTCTGACTGCCACTGGGACGTGAACAACTTGACGTTCACTCGTCTCTCCTCATTGTGGGGCTGAAGGTAGAAGGCTATTATCGCGGGGACCAGCTCTGCCTCCAGGGACTCCAGGCTCGCCATGTGATTCTTAATCCTCGTAACTCTGTTTATGTCGCTGCAGCAGGCAATCGCGTACAGCCCCATCTGCATGACCTTGTCAGTCACCTGATCAAAATCCTCGACGAGATCGTTCAAGTCCTCCTGGCTCCTCTTGTCAGGTGCCAGGCTGTTCCCACACATCTTCACGAGCTTTTTCAACGATCCAAAGGGCTCGCTGAACATCTCCAGCACCAGAGAGAGCACCGAGACGTTCACCTTCCTCTCGAGTCTGTACAGGGCGTCAGTGAAGGTGTTGTAGAAGAGGGAATTCAGCATCGAGTCGGGCTTCTCCGAGGAGATTTGCTCCTTCAAATTGTCGTACTCTGACATTATCGACTGGCAGACTCCAGTGATGGCCTTGAAGTTCTCAGGGTCGCACACCTGGGCGATCACCATGGCATGGGAGAAGACGTCCTCAACAGCAATCCACAGTTTATTGCACTCGACGAGCTGCTCCTCCTGGGGTTTACTGGGGAGATCAGCCACGAGGTCCAGTGCCAGGTCCATTTTGTAGACGAAATGATCGATTCTCTCGGTTTTCTCGTCAGGCTCTGGGCTCCTCCCCTCGAAAATGTCGTTTACCATCTTGAGACACCAGCAGATTCTCTCGCAGATGTAGCTCTTGGAGCTGTGGATGGGGAGGTTGATCTCGTGTTGGGAGTGAACTACACTCGTCAGCATGGAGAAGGCAGAGCACAACTGGCAGACGTACAGTGCAAGTTTCTCCTTTTGGGATCTGTGGAGCAGACTCTTGCCAAAGTCCTGGAGGGGCCCCAGCATATCCAGGAGACTCTCCCCGAGCTCCTTTATGTTCTCGAAGTCCTCTATCGCGGTGACTTCACCCATCTCTTTTATGTAGATCATGGCGTCCTGCAGCTGCTGCTTCAGGTCGAAGTACTCGAGGTCCTCCAGGTTCTTCAGGGCGTTTGTCAGTTTGTCTAGGAACTTGAGAGCTGTTTGGGGGTCTCTGGGGGGCCTGCAGGGGGTCGTGGACATTGCACAGAATCCCTGGATTATTGAAGTTATTTTGGACTTCATCTCCTTGTAACCTGACCCATCGTCGCAGTAGTAACTCTCCAACTGGTCCAGCTTTTCGGTTAGGGTGTCCAGTTGGGAGAGGAGGATTGACTTCACTGAGGCCACGTCCGCTGGGTCGTTCTTGCTGTCCTCGAGTAATTGGTTCAATTTGTTCACCTGTTGGGAAATGACGGAATAAATAGTGGTTTTGTTTTATGGAAAATTGGAAATAGAGGGGGTGCGATCAATACGTCGTTTTTAATCGTCAATATCTCCAGATTGGCAGAGTGAAAGTCAGCAATTTATTTTTCATTTTAAAGACAGTTTTTTCAAGTTTAAAATCAAGTCTGATTCATTGAAATCGGATCGTTGGATCAGGAGATATTAATGATTAAATGAGATCCTTTTCTGCAAGTTGTAAAAATCAGGGGGAAAGCCGAATTTGTCATTGTCAATATCTCGATATCGGCTGAGTGAAATTCGACAATTTTTTTTTCAATTTCAAGGTGTTTTTATGATCTTGAAAATGCGTGATCAATGGTCCGAATCGAGTCATTTGTTCGCGAGATATTGGAGACTGAGCAAGATGCTCTCAATTCGTCCCCCCAAATTTGCTCCAAAAAATAATTATGAGGGATAATTACCTGCACCGCAATGGGCTTCACCAAATCATTCATCTTGCGCGTTTTAATCGACATATTTGCAGCACTTATTCCCCGAGTAAGCGTCACTCATCAGTTCAAATGCTCATTTGTTCGTTAGAATGTAAACAGACTCGGTAACCAAGTGATGGTGTTTTATTTTCTGTCGCATGGGAGGGGGGTAGGAGAGGTCAGTGCTGCCAACGTGATGTCTCTGAGTCACGATGATATCGCTCATCGATCCCGCACTGTTATTATTGCCAAGTCGGAGTGTGATAAGCACTCAGTAATGATATTTTAGGAGTTATCCACTCTTTGTGCCGACCAATTACCGCATTATCGTACGATATTCCTTCGAAATTATGGTTTTGAGGATATAGAGGAGTGAAATACGTCATCGTACTCGATCACCGGTGAGTTCCGCACGATAATTTCATCATTTTCATCATTAGCTCGGCGGAGTGGTGGATTATGGCCACCATGTGCTCTCTATTTTGATGGACAATGAGGGGATTATTTCCAATATGTTTTGCTTCGCGTGGTTTTCATCGATTTTGAAGGGTTATTGGTGGGAAAAGCCAGGATGTTTTTCATTCGTAGGACCAATGGCCTAATTTCTTCATTCAAAGTTATGTAATTGCTGAATTATGGGAGTGGGTCGAGGGCAGGACACCTATGAGGATGGAATATCGTGCTGAGAGGGGTAGGCTAATTCCTCATTTTCCAGGGGATCGAATGGGAAAAGTAGTTCATACTCTCTGTGAGGGCCACAAGCATAGATCGGCATCAATCTTTAATTTAGCAATATGAGAAGTTGACCCTCACAATAATTAAGATTTACTTATCTTCTTTGAAATTTAAAAAATAATATAATAATTGGTAGGGGAGGGTGGGGTAAAACGGCCCCTTTTGATTTTTTCAAAAATGTTAACAGCTTATCCAATTATAAATAAAATGGAATAATTGTTTTTCCATGGAAACTACACTTCTTCCCCTTTAGAATGAGCCTAGACTGATCTCAATTAATGAATTTGTTTCTGAGTTATGAGTAGGGGAGGATGGGGTAAAATGGACACTTTAGACTTTTTTAAAATTATTCACAACTCCGAAACAAATTTATCAATTGAGCTCAGTTTAGGCTCGTCACAAAGAGAAAGAGTTGTTCTTTGTATTGAAAAAAAAATTATTGAATTTTATCGACATTTCAACCCCTCATTAACATTTTAAAAGAAGTCGAAAGTGTCCGTTTTACCCCACCCTCCCCTATCACAAAAAAAGGCAAAAGGGCCGTTTTACCCCACTCTCCCTTAATTGAATTTTTTTCAATTGACTATTAACTAAATAATTGACTGTGGCCTGGTTGCACTGGCTCCCGGTAACGACAACGTCAGATAAGAAAACAAGTAAATTTGGATGTTCGATGGATCATTTTACCCGGGAGAGTTCCCAAATTTATCCCAGGAACAAAAAATAAAATTTGATCCCAAGGTTACTTTAACTGTAACTAAAAATTATGATTGTGCCGAGGTCTGCCCACAAGTATCTCGACAAGTACTTAAATGGTCAATCATTATTACATTAATTTCTTTCATCTCTTCTCCTGGATCAGTGAATTAATCATTTTCATCATTAATTCGCCCAAATCATGGACAAATAAGAGTTCAATCTCAAATATGTCTTATTGATGGGAAAATTCAGGACGTTTTTCATTTGTAAGCAAACAAAAAACAATTCAGTGGCCCAATTTCCCCACCCAAAGTTATGTATTTACTTTCCCATACGTTTCGAGGCCAGAACCCCTATGGGAGTGTAAATATAGTCCTGAGAGGTGTAGAATAATTCCTTACTTTCCAGGGGATCGAATGGAAAAAGTATTCTATGGTCTCTGTGAGAGCCACAAGTATCTCGAAAACAACTTGTATTATCCAATTTTATTTCACCGGTTGTTTTGGCTTGTGTGAATAATGGTCAAGTATTATGAGAACAGCACGACTTTCCAGTTCGATTGGAGCCAGGTTGCTCAAGGCTTCTGGAAGCGGTACCCCAACCCCCACAGGTAAATACTAATGGTAGTGTTAATTATGAAGAACGTGAGGTCCAATGTTCACTCGGTTTTCTTTTTAGTTCGCATGTCCTCACGGAGGACACGATATCGAGGGAAGTGAAGGATGGAAAATTGTACACGAAGAGACTACTGACGAAGACAAACAGGGTGCCCAAGTGGGGGGAGAGGTTTATCAGTAAAAATGTTGTTAAAATTGTTGAGGAGACTGTTATTGACCCTGAGAAGAAAACGTTGACGTCGTACACGAGGAATTTGGGGTACACGAAAGTCATGGTGAGGGATTTGAGAGAGGAGGGGTAGAACTAGATGATAAATTTTCTACTACAATTTTTCCATCTTCAGAGTCAGAATTATTTATTAAAAATGGACATCGGAAATTCTTGTTAGTCAGTTTGCAATAAATATCTCGGAATCTAGGGGAGATATCAAAATTTTTGTTATGACCTTTTTTGTAGGGCGAGTTGAGAGCTACAAAAAAGGTAATTACGAAAATTTCGCTATCTCCGTTAGATTGGGAGATATTGAATTAAATTGAATCGTCTTATCGCTTTGCTAGTGATTTGGTTTCAGTTCATCTGAAATTTCCATTGTTACTAAATCTCTTTTTTAATTGTTCGTTCTACAGAACATCTCTGCAGCTGATAAAATTTCCTAGAATAATTTGGATGCAGTTTAAGAGAGATTCATTGTAAAAAAGAGTTATGCATTTGTCTTGTGAAGATAAATTCCGGTTTTTTAATAGTAGAAAATCTCTTTTGAATTAATGATTTCAGAGTGTTATTGAAAAAGTTGTGTACAAAGTATCAGATGAAAATAAAAACTGGACAGTGGCTCAGAGGTCAGCATGGATCGACAGTTCACTGTTTGGATTTAGAAGTGCAATTCAAGCATTCGGCCTTGAAAGATTCAAGAAGAATTGCGTGAAGATGAGCGGTGGCTTCAACTATGTCCTTGCTCACATGTTCCCAAGCACAGCCCAGCACATGAGTCCAACACTAGCACAGATGGGATTTGCTAATTACGTAAGAATAATTCTAGAACTATTCCTGGTGAGGTATTCCATGTCAAATATGTCAACGGCTGAGCCTCACCCTCCTGGAAATTAATCTCGATTTTGTTTATGATTGGGGGACTAGAAAAACTACTTCTCAATTTTTTTCAGATTTTTTAAACTTTAATTTTTTCAAAATTCAAGTTTTTCAAATTTTTTTTTTTTGAAAATTTGGTATTATGAGCACCTAGGGGTTCAAAAAAAAATACCAAAAATCTTCTTTTAGATGGTAGAAACTGGAAAATTTTGAGCCGTCGTAAATGAAAATCGGCTGAATATAACCCGAGATATTGAAAAAAAAACAAAAAAAAACAAAGAAAAAACATATCTCTGCAATGGGCTGTCGAAATAATCTGAAAAAATTAAGAGATAGTTTTTCAAGCCCATTCCATTTGGCATGGGACTCATATGTGAATAATGGAAAATTCTTTGAAAAAAAAAAAACGAGACAAATCTTGACTCTGAATTTTTAGGATGATGAACCATCAATGACGAAATTTAGCCACGCAGCTGAGGATCTCCAGCACTCGCTTCACGACAAAGCAGAAAAAATGAAAGACGCCGCGAAGAAAGCCACAGATTTAGCTAAAAAGAAAGCAGGCCCGATGTACGTGGCTTGCCAACCAAATCAGTCTTAAAGAAATTTCATCATTCTCCTGATTTTTTAAACTTCAGCAGTGAGGGATGCGAGGGGGTTGTCACAAAAAAGGTCAAACATTGAAATAAACTCATCAATATTGAAATCTATCCATCAATCCAGTAGCGAAGTCGTAAAATTGTTCAAGTCAATTTTGACTACTAGTCTGTTTCCAGTGAATATCTCGAGATCTAAGGAAGATAGAAAAATTTTCATCATGACCTTTTTTGCAGCTCTCAATTCGCTCTACAAAAAAGATATTAACAAAAAATTCGCTACCTCCCTTACTTTCGAAGATATTCCTCGGAAACTCTGCAATTGCTACTGAATTGCTAAAATTGTTCATCGAAATTTCAAAATTACTTGGATTTTGCCTCTTATGACAGACATGTACGTGTAAAAATGTTAAATTATCAAGTATTTCATTACCAAAAATAACTCGATGGAAAGTAAACAGAAATTTATAAGGATTTAATGAATTTCTTGAGGATTTAAAAATGATATAAATTCCATTAGAGAAAGCAAATTAATCACGAAGAATTCTCTCGTCAATTGAAAATTGCTTGCTCCCCTCCCCAACCTCTCACTTTTTCCCGAAAAATCATTCCTCTTCGACAACTGCCAGCGAATTCTGTGAAGGTTGAGACGAAGAATATCCACTGACTCCCAATAACGATCAGATAATGTATCTGTCAAATAAACAAAAAACCAGAATGAAAATGAAACTGCATTTCCACATCTGTCGAATGATACGAACGAGTCGATGAATTGTTCAGTGGTCACAGGGCATAGTGCGCGCATAATAGAGCCATAAAATACATGTCTATCGATTCACAGCAATAAATAGCCTGGCTACATCGACCCAGTGAATGCGAGTAAAAATCGATATACGCAACATCTAGAATATTCTCTGTTACCCCTAAATTGTATAAACGTAGGATATGCTGTGCAAAATAAATTAAATCATGTAAATAGAAAATTCATAAGCTATTTTATAACTTTGTTTTCTTAGACATCGATGTTTACATAATGATAATAAACATACATTATTAAGATGTTAAAATGGGAATGTCTAATAAATCTGGGTAAATACAGAACTAATTCCGATTAATTAAATCCCTGAACTCTTCGAAAAATAATTATTTTGAAAAAATGCATTTAAACTGCATTAAGGATGTTTAGCCATTGTCGATAAATGTGTTTTTTTTTCATTGCCAAAGAAAATTTTGTAATTTTTTTGGGTGACAGCAGAACATATAAAACTAGCTTTTCTAACGAAAAAAAAAATTAATCGCAATAGTCTCGGCAGAAATGAATAAACTAATTTTTCCTTATACACGGGCTGTTAAGAAATTTATATTCAAATTGATAATTCACCTACTAGAAGACTCTAAAAATAGAAATAATAAAAATAGAAGGTAAAATCATACTGAATCCAGTGGCCAGAGAAAAATCTGGGGTCCCGGGGCAAAAGGAGGAAATATTTGAATGATTCTATCCCATTTAAGCGCATGTTAGCGCATGCATTTGGTGCATTTTGTCTATTTCATTTTTTAATAATGAACATGGGTTGGTGGCAGAGATAGGCAATAATATTAGATTTTGAGAATATTAAAAAGGATCATCTCCTTATATTGTTCAAAGTCTAACAATATTTAATAAATTTAAAATATTACAGAATTTATTATATAAATTTTTTATTAATGGTGAATAAAATATTTGATAATACTGAAATGTAGTTTTTTAGTTAACAAGCTAATTCTAACTTTAGGTACTTGATTTTCGATTATCCAAATAATCGTCAATCTTCCTACCTAAATTATTGGTTGATAGAATATTTATAAATTTAAATGTACATTGATGGTTACTTCAATATTTAAAAATATAAAATTTATGTTAAAAATTGACAACACAATTTAATGGTAATTAAGATTGATTGATATGCGTAGCACTCATTGGTGGATTGAAATTTGTATCAAAGTGAAAGTAACATCATCTCTCAGTTAAAAAAAAATAATTTTTTTAAGTAGTTGCGATTTCCAATAAACATGCTTTAAATAATTTATAAGCCATTTCATAACTTTCTTTATATAATGGTGATGAATATAATTCATGAAAGTATTGAAATAATCTTGAAATGTCCCATAATCACTTGAAGCCTTATAAAAAAATAATTTCGAAAAAATACATTAAAAAATTGAAATATAGGGAATTTAACGTTCGTCTGGTGACGCTTGCGCACCGTTTCAAGCCGGTCGAACACTGTACCAAAATAACTGCATATACAACTCACCATAGCCGCCCCCCTGCATAAACTTCCTGTGGAATATTAGGTGTGACTGCACTCCGCCTCACCCTGCAACAAAATTTAAATACATTTGGTTAAAGAAAGGTACATTTAGAATTTTTAATCACTCTCACTGTCAGAACACAGTATAAGCATTCGATAGAGCATGCAGACTGCACTAATTAGCCAAATCCATGATGATGAGAACACCTGCCTCCATTTTGATGCATGTTAACACTGCAGTTGTAAATATCAATGAGAAGTGACATGTCCCCTAACATTCGGAGCCCATAATGAATATTCATACCATCTCCATTATTAATTAATACAAACGTTCTATTTGTTCGTCTTAATTGAATGGGAGGGTTTTAATTGCGGCCCTGTAATAATGAATATTCTCATGCATTGATTAATCACCCTTCCCTCCCAGAACATTTTATAATTGAGTAGTGAAGTGGTCAATCGGTTTAAGTTGACTTTGCTCCCAGTTGAGTTTTTCTTGAATAACTTGGAATTTAAGAAAGATATACGGAGAGAAATATTCAATAAAAATTACGTAGGGGAGGTTGGGGTAAAACGGACACTTGACTTTTTAAAATGTTAATGAGGGGTTGAAATGTTGATAAAATTTAATAATTTTTTTTTTCAATACAAAGAAAAATTCTTTTCCTGTGTGACGAGCCTAAACTGAGCTCAATTGATCAATTTGTTTCTGAGTTATGAATAATTTTGAAAAAGTCTAGAGTGTCCGTTTTACCCCACCCTCCCCTATGTTTTCCGTACTTCCGAAGTGAAATGTGGTTGTAGGAAATTTTACGGATCTGTCACGGAATTTTTCCAGAGTGTTCCGTAATTTTTATCTCAATCTCCTGTGAAAAATTACGATACCGTCACTTAAATTTTCTGAATTGATTCCGTAATCGGTCAGCGAATTGTGAGTTCCGTAATGTTTACTGAACATTTTTCTCCGTGTATCCAAATTTTTGTAAGATCTTTTTCGATAGTCTTAACTTTTCTTTACGAAAAAGATTTTTAGGAAAATTTTGTCAACTCCTTTAGAATATTTTGAGATATTCATCGAGAACGAGCGCTAGAATGGAATTGACTTAAACCGTTTAACCACTTCACTACTGAATTGTTAATAAAAACAAGAAGCTGACATTTTTATAAGAAAGACCCTTTGCTCGTTTTTATTCATCACGATATGTTTGTGTAATTAAATTTGATCCTGTAATCGTGCTGTTGGGTCTTTATAGAATAAAAATGAGAATGAAAATTAATTAGTTGAAATAAGAAGAATTCATGTCGAAATAGCAATGCTAACATGAAATACTAATTCAATACCAAAGCCGTAAAACGGTTCAAGTCGATTCTGACTATTGGTCAGTTTTTACTAAATTACTAAATACAAAATTTTTGTCATTACCTTTTTTGTAAAGCGAACTAAATCATCAATTATAAATTAATTAAAATGTTTCCCGAAAATTCAGCTAGCGGCTAAATGGACTAGAACCGTTTTACCCCTTCGCTACTGAATGAATTCCCGCAAAATAATTTTCTTCAAATGCCACCTCATTGAATTTTGAATGAAATGTTGACTCATCCCTGGCAAATAAAATTTCCAATTTCACGAGTGCACGAATTCCAGAGAATCAAAATACGTCTGAAGCGGAGAATAAAAATGGCAGAACTAGCGGCCCTGCTGCGTCAGGACATACCGGAGGGGCGTAGTAATCTAGCCGACAGTCACACAAATTTGGAGCGCGTAGCGGAATACTGCGAGGCGAATTACTTCCAAGCCGAGAACAAGCGAATAGCCCTTGAGGAGACAAAAAACTTTACAACCCAGTCACTGGCGAGTGTAGCATACCAGATAAACACCCTGGCCTACAATTTCCTGCAGCTGCTGGACCTGCAGACGTCCCAGCTGGCGGAGATGGAGAGCCAGATGAACCACATAGCCCAGACAGTGATGATTCACAAGGAGAAGGTGGCGAGACGAGAGATAGGTGTCTTGACAGCCAACAAGATGACGACGAGACAGTACAAGATCATAGCCCCAGCTAATCCAGAGAAGCCGATAAAATACGTGCGGAAGAGCATTGATTACAACACTCTGGATGAGATTGGGCATGGGGTGAGGAGCACTGGCACCCCCAGGAGCAAGCAGAGGGGCGGAAGTCAGGGGAGTGTTCAGAGTCTGGGAGCTGTGTCCAGTGGCTCAGGACTGGCAGCTGCCATGGTCGGTCCAGCTCCCACGACGAAACCCCCAACTCCACCGCAGGCTGCCAGGACTGGAACCCTGAGCAAGGGCTCCAGGGAGTACAGAACTCCACCAGCTGTGGCACCCCCACAGGTCCCAAGTCATTATGCACCCAATTATCCACTGGGACATCCTCGACGTGAACGCGGCCCTGGCTACAGCACTCTGCCACTCCATGCACACACAACCCAGCACAATACCCTTCCTCACAATAGTCATAATAGTCATAGTAATAATGCGGGGGGTGTGCAGCACACGTCCCCACCGCAAGTCGGTACTGTGCATCCGTTGCAGAGTCATCCCCAGATTCCACCACCAGCTCCACCAAGTCTCACGGGGAATAACTCGTATTTGCAGGAGCAGCACATCAGCATGCCTCGTAAGTTGATGAATTCATTGGCTTCTGGGGGGAACTGGGGGTTTGGGATGCATGGGTCGCCGATTATTTTTTTCAATGTGAAAAATACCCACGAGAATTTTTCTCCTGAAAAAGACTTTGCCCAAGAAAAGTTCCTGCTAAAAAAGTGATCGAAATGGTACCCCCGGAGAAAAACCAAGTGAAATTTACTTTGAAAATATTAAATTGAATATATACTGACGGAAAAAATTTATTTAACGCGAGAATTTGATTTGAAGCAACTATGATTTGATTGTTAATTTTCAAATAAACATGATTTCATAGTGAATACCAGTTATCTCTTCTTGAGATACGTTTGATTGGGAGAAATCGAACTTGTCTAGAATAGAAGTTTCTTTTATTTGTCGCAATAATGAGAATATTTGATTTCTTTCTAACCAAAAGTTTGCCAACTCCAGAAATTCGTTGGTTTATTGAAAAGAGAAAAAAAAGAAAGTCAATTAGCATTTTTTGAAGAGAAAAAAACCAACTCCGAGCAAAGTCTCACATGGAAAAAATTAATTTCAAAAGGAAGAATGCGCCGAGGAAAATTAACGGAGAGAGAATTTCCAAGAGAAAAATTCGCCGAGAAAAAATTGACGGAAAATTGATTTGCGCACATTTTTCGATGGGGAAAAAACTCTGGCCCGCGAGATGCATGTAATGCTGACGTTTTGGTAACAAATGTTTGTTGAGCAAATGAAAAAATTAATATCGATGAAGGAATGAAATTGCAATTGTGTTTGTCTTTGAACATTGGTAATCAATCTGGGGAACGAAGAAATCCCATGATTTGATTATCAAGCATGCGATGTTTCGACGGATCTACAACGAGAATACTAACAATACAAGTCAATATTGAACTCAGGACGCGTCTGGAGAGATAATTAACTGTTCCCCTTTAAAAATTCTATGTAATGTTCTACGCAAATTCGATTTCGCCTGCTTATTTTAATTAATTAGTTTGTTAATGAAAGAGAATTCGCTTGAAGAGTTTATTACGGTATATGTCGGGTAGAAAGAGAATAAAGGGTTCATAATTTCTAGGAGCCAAAAAATTCTTGCCATAAACTTGCAATTAACGTTAAAGACTTGAAGATTTAAGTAAATTGGAAGATTCTTCAGACAACAATGCATAACTTTCATACATAATTAATTTCAGTTTGATACAGTCAATGATCATTAGGATATTTAATGGTTAATTGTCATGAGCTGCTCACTCTTCTGAGTCTGTCGCAATAGTTTGTAGTGAAGCGGTAAAACTATCCTAGTCGACGTTTCAGACAAAATCTCTGAATCTAAGGGAGATAGGGTAATTTTCGTAATAATCTTTTTTGTAAGGCGGATTGAGATCTACAAAAAAGGTTATGACAAAAATTTTGCTATCTGCCATAGATCCGGAGATATTGATTGAAAACTGACCATCAGTCAAAATTGACTTGAACCGTTTTATCGCTCAGAGATAGCCATGTCCATAGATGATAATTGCTGTTAAATTATTCAGTTGTCAATTAATTAATATCACTTCTAAATTTTAATTATTGAAGTAATCATAAATTTAAATAGAAAATTTATAGTTCCATATTTGTTCCATATCAATTATTCTACTATTTTTAAATTTCGATTAGTATACTTAAATCTCGATCAATATAGGTCGGAAATTCTTTTAATATTGAAGAATTGGAAGATTGATGGCCATCTCTGTTACCGCTTCGCTACAGAATTACTCAAATAATGAGAAATGCTGAGCAAAATGAAAATTAAATGAGTCCAAAACTATAGTTGAGAAACTTTGGAAGAATCATATGCGCACCCTGTTCCCTTGCTGCAAAAAATCCCCGAGTTTTTCCCACATTTTCAGTTTCGTCCACTCTGATTACCATACAAGATTAATGCAACTGATTTAATTTCCGCAGCCCCACCCTCTCCATTAGTTGGAGTTGGTGACATGGCGGATTACACCGGACATCATACATTACCCCACAGGTTCTCTCATCAGATTAGTAGAAGCAGTGGTGCTGGTAGTCCTCCATTACCACCGCCACCACCCGAGCAAGACGAGCATTCGCAATTTGGTAGACCCCAGGGTCACAATCAGGGTCACAGCCAGGGTGGTGCCATAATGCCGATTGTCCCTGACGAGGAGGATCTCCCCGGTTGGGTGCCCAAGAATTACATTGAAAAAGGTTTGCAGTGATTTGTTATTAAAATCATATTTTCGATTGTTTCATTTTTTCCCACTCCCCCCTAACGTACAAACGTCCAAGGTGACCAAATAGCCCTGGGCCAATACAGAAATTAAATGAACCTTTCGACTAAAGAAATTCAAAATGCTCCCACCGTTTTTAAATTGGCCATTAATCATAATTCTTGTTGCAGTCGTTGCAATTTATGACTACTACGCTGATAAAGAGGACGAACTGAGCTTCCAGGAGAGCAGTGTCATCTACGTCCTGAAGAAGAACGACGATGGATGGTGGGAGGGGGTGATGGATGGCATAACCGGGCTATTCCCTGGTAATTACGTCGAGCCTTGTGTCTGAAATTCTGTTTGAATTTAGAACGAAAGGTGCTGAAGTTTAAATATTAATCAGCGATTAAGTGCTAACAAGTGTAAAGTTAATAAGCTTTTACGTCAGCTCGTCGTCTTCAACATTATCATTAAGATATTATCAAGACTTGAATAAAAATCACATTGTACCAGACATCATGTATTTTGACACTGTTATTTAAGGGATTATGTAATCAGGAGATTTTGTAATATATGTCACATGTAGCATTTACAGGAATAAAATGACAGCATTGAAAAATATTCAAGTCGTTATTTTCAATCTGAATGTTTGATACATTTTTCTTGAGTGATGCATGTGGCAGCACTCGGACAATACCGCGATTCTCGTACGAATGTGCAAGCTTACGTAAACCATGAAAATACTTCGATCGATTCTCCACACTCAGTGACTCTCAAATTTACTAAGTGATCCCGGGAGAAATCTGTCAGTTGCTTTAAAGGGTTCCGAGGCTTGAGATTTATCTACTTTGATGTAGTAATCTCAACTCTGACGATGAACGAAGAGAAATCCACTCCAATCAAGAAACATCAGAATGAAAACGAAAGGAATTGAAGAAAATGATACATCATTTGCTTAATTTATTGAGATGTTCTTTTCTCAGGAATAAATATCGCCATGTGTACATGCCAAAACATTGTATCTTCTCGGTTAAACTCAGAATACGAGCATTTTATCTTAATCGTCGTTATTTACAGCCACCACTATCGACCCGGACTAAACCCGAAAAACCGTATCTTCCTATTTGATCTGGCGATAGGAGATTTTGCCATTAGTTTCGCCTGCTGACGCTATGAGTAAAACCAATAGGTCGTAAAATACAATTGTCGTTTTATTACTTGAGACAAAAAGAGTATTTTCAGCTTAATGAAACGATCACCATCCAGGGAGAATCAACTCTGACGATGAACGAAGAGAAATCCACTCCAATCAAGGAACATCAGAATAAAAATGAAAAAAAAAAAAAGAAAATAAATGATACATCATTTCCTTAATTTATTGAGATGTTCTTTCCTCAGGAATAAAAATCGCCATGTCCACATGCCAAAATATCGTCTGACAACGCACGATAAGCAATTAATTTTTGCGCTAATTATTCACTTTTAGACATATAATCGATCTTCGATGTATGAGAAATCTCATTCCAATGGCCCGCGACTTTTAAAACTCACAATAGTCTCCCCTAATTTGATCTCGTAATCTCCATTCTGATGATAAATGAAGAGAAATCCACTCCCGTCGAGAAATAATATCAGAATAAAAATTATAGGCGTTTCTGCCATTAGTGTCACCCTCTGACATTACGAGGAAAACCAATAGGTCGTAAAATACTATTTTCGTTTCATTACTTCAAACAAAAAGAGTATTCTCAGCTTAATGAAACGATCGTCATCCGCGGAGAATCAACCTTTTCAATATGATTGACCGAATGTCAGTGATGATCGACGTTAAATGTTGATATTCCCAGGGGAATAGAAGGAAGTATGACTTTTTGACAGGAAAAGTGCACTGGCACATTTGCAATGTCGGTTTTAAACCCACGAGAATGTTCGTTCCACCATCCACCCAATCAATATCCTCTTTATAGGCCAAATTTAATCCAATCGCTTTCAATTTCAGTGGTTATATACAATGTAACGATTTTATCGTTGAAAATAAAATGGAGAGGCAATTTTTTTGTAGGAAGTATTAATATTCATAATTAGAAAAAAATTTCAGGGAACGCCAGTGTTATTTTTTCAGGCCCCACACGAGGTACAAGAGCTGAGTTATTATTAGCTATTCAAATATCATCGATTTTTCATTAAAAAAAAAAATGAATTTTAATTAATCCGGAAAAAGCTTAGTCAAGAGAGTAAAATTTCCCGGGCGCTTCATCAGAATTTACGTGGAATATTTCTTCATTATGGGGGATAAAAATAACAACAAGCGGTATGAAATCGCCTGTAACTTCCACTCAACCAATTGCCCCACATTTTTATTTATTTCCTACTCCCCCACGAATAAACATATAGCGGAGTAAAAATCTGTCAATAAACTCGATATCTGCAGTGCATTATGTGAAACGCTTGTCAAGACCAGTCACGTTGGCTCGGTAATAAATCACCCATCGTCAATTTATGACTGAATAGCAACCACCTGACGTGTTTCAAAACTCATACATATATGTTTAGAGTGGAGTGCTCGTACGTCATCAATAAATCGTGCTTAATTGCTGCAATTAATTTCATCCAGTCTACCATAGATATACTGGAATTTGATTTTCGGGGGAGGGAGCGAGGGCGGGGTACGGCAATTCTGTCTGTTGGATTTTGCAGGCACAGTGCCATTATTCCACCAATGACTAAATTCAAATTTATGCGTTTGGGTCTAAATTCGCAGTTTGTTTGTTTGTTTCGATGATTGGAGGATCTTTTCTAGAGTTTTTGGCCCTTGATGTGCTACCCAGACAATTTGACCCTTACGTTTTCAGTTTTTTTGCTTCCGAGTGGAAGCATTGTAATCGTTCAAATTTAAGTTTTGCATTTTTTGTGTTATATCGATCCATTATGATCCAAAAAGTTCGAAAATGCAATTTTTAGACTGTGTTCGCACGTATGTGTGTGATAAACTTTTTCTTGAATTGTTCGCTAAGGAATGGATGGAATTGAATCTTTTTTTTTCAAATGCAGGTATTGTTGAGCCCTATCGATCGCCGTTAATTAAAATTAAATTCATCAATTTTTTTTTCAATTTTTGATTTTTTTTAATCGGTTGTTCCACGATAACTAAAAAAAGTCCTGAATTGATTGAATGATGGTTTAAAAAATTTGCTTGGATGTCCCTTTGACCGAGTTCGAAGGTGAAGGCGATGACAGTAATCGTTATTTTGATGTATTCGAAAATTTTCACAAATTTTGTATTGTTTGACAATCCGAATTCCGGGGATATCTTTGAATACCATGGTTCAAGGAATTCAACGTCAGTTGCAGTCACTCGATCCCGAATCGTGCTTTTAAATAGATGGATGAATAAATAAATAAGTGAATGAATAATGATCCAAATGGACATTTTATGGCCCATGATGTGATATCCAGACAATCTGACCCTTACGTTTTCACCCAGTTTTTTTTTAATGAATTAATTTCATCGAAATTGATCGAGTAATACGACGTCAGCTGCAGGCACTCGATCCTGAATCCTGTTTTTAAATACACGAATGAATAAATAAATAAATGCACGAATAATGATCCAAATGGACATTTGATGTCCATTCAACCTGTTCACGAGAGTAATTACTATTCGCCAGACTTGTACACCTATAATTACTCCAAAATATTCCGGATGAACGTCCGCGCCGCTATAAATTATTCCCCACACATATTGCACAGAAGTAAACCCTTCAAAACCAACTTCCAGGAATGAATTGCATTTTATTTTCACTTTATAGGTCAACATATACATGAAACACGTCACAAGCTCCTTTAAGACGTCCCCCGAATGTTTATAAACACGGCGTTTCGATATTGATCCTCAGATTTTTCGAAATAAATACAAATAGAAGTGAAAAAAGCCGGTATCACAATTTTTTGAAAATTGTTCCCAACTTACAATCTCCACTCCACTGAGAATTTAAGGAATTTCATAATTGAAAATACACAATTTTATGAAACAAAAACAATGGAAACTTTAAATTTCACGTAAATTTTGTAGTAGAAATTAAAATAAAGGTAGCACCGAATGAATTTAACAATGACGTTTAATTTAGCTCTGAATAAATACAAATGGTTTGTCTACGCGACCAATACTGTTTCGATATAAATTTAAAGTGAGATCGGTGTGGAGGTGTTGACACTGCACAGGTCAAAGCCCGGATGTTTCTTTTCCCCCTGACCCCGTCGATGTGAACGATAAGGGGCCTTGGGTCCCTTTCTTGGGTCCTATGTCGCCAGAGGGTGTCAACTACTCGTCAAATCTCCGCATTATTTCGGTAACTATCTCAAACCTCTAGCCCTGTGTTTTACATAGAAAATGTGGCGCTTCAATATAAATTTGAAATGTTAAATTACTTCAAATTTCATAATTTTAATATCGACCTCCTGAAAATTTCTACTAAACGGCCCACAAAATTCCAACTCTTCTCTGAACTTTTTACGTCCATTCAACCCATTCACCAGCGTAATTACTATTCACCAGACTTGTACAACTATAATGACTCCAAAATATCTAGAATTAACGTCCAACCCGCTGTAAATTATTCCCCAAACATATTGCGCCGAAGTGAGCCCTTCAAAACCAACTTCCAGGAATAAATTGCTTTTCATTTCTACTTTATAGGTCAACATATACATGAAGCATGGAACAAGCTCCTTTACGCCGTCCCCTCGAATGTTTGTAAAGACGGCGTTTCGATATTCATCCTGTGATATTCTGAACTAAATGCAAGCGAATGTGTAAAATTTTTTTTATCAATTTACAATTCCACTGAGAAGTCGGGGAATTTAGTCATTGAAAATTCACAATTTTATGAAAGCAACAATAGAAACTTTAAATTTCAGGTAAACATATGCGTGAATTTTTCAATTACTCCAAATTTCATCATTTATTCCCCTAAATTTAATTGAATATCGATCTCCTGAAAATTTCTACTAAACCGCCCACGAAATTTCAACTCTTCTCTGAACATTTTATGTCCATTCAACCCGTTCACCAGCCTTGTACAAATATAATGACTCCAAACTATCCAGAATTCCTCCAAACATATTGCACAGAAGTAAACCCTTCAAAACCAACTCCCAGTAATGAGTTGCATTTAATTTCCCCTTTCTAAGCTCCTTTATTCCTTTGGATGTCCCCTCGAATGTTTGCAAGCGCGGCGTTTCGATATTTATCCTGTGATATTCTGGAATAAATACAAGCGGATGTGTACAAAGCCGGTATCACCTTGGAGACCTGCATATTCGAGAGTCTCCCTGAGATCCCGGTGCCAGAGCATGTGTCCCTAAACGATATAAAATATCGGCCCAGGCTGACGCCACTCACACCACAATCACCAGCCGGTTCAGCCGATTTGGATAACAATATCCGCCCCTCGATCTATACCAGCCTCAACGTGATTCCAAGGGGGGAAAAAACCACTCTCGTATCTTTCACCATCGGTTACCACACTCGCGTTCTCAACCCTCTTACCCCCAAAACCCAAGATATAAATTCTGATGTAGGAATAACGGGTACAATTCCTATTCCACTTGGATACTCCAGCCCACAACTATAAATCGTAAACTCAATTAATGCTTTATGAAACTGGCGCACTTTTGTATCAAATAACGGCGCAGGGGCACGAGGGAGGGGGTGAATTAAAAATTGAGGGAGGAATGGATGGAGCTGTATTTTCCGTTATTTATGGGGGAGTTGGTCAGGAGTTTTTATGGGATTGTTGACCATTGCTGGAGCGGTTCAAGTGATAGCAAAGTCCGGATCAGTTCGGGGTAGGTCGTCCGATGGAATTGGCTTTGGGAATTATGTTTTTCGTCTGCGTTGTCAATTGATTTAGCAGTGAACTGGATATTTTTTATTTGCTCAGAAATTTTTAGCCAGGCGAACGTTGATTCCAACTATTTAAGCGACGGGCTATTCAGAACTCTCAAAAGTATGTGGAAAAAGTGTAAGCAGGAAAAGTTTTTTTTCAGATTTTCAAAGGGACAGATTTTCCGTTTTTCCAGGGGGAAAGTCGACTTTCGCCAAAATCGAATTTTTTAGCCAGGTGAACGTTGATTCCAACTATTTAAGCGACGGGCTATTCAGAACTCTCAAAAGTATGTGGAAAAAGCGAAAACTGAAAAAGTTTTTTTTTGGAAATTTTCAAAGGGTCAGATTTTCCGTTTTTCTAGGGGCGAGTCGACCTCTGCCAAAATCGAATTTTGTAGCCGGGTGAACGTTGATTACAACTATGTAAGCCACGGGCTATTCAGAACTATCAAAAGTATGTGGAAGAAGTGAAAAGTGGAAAAAAAATTTTTTTCACCGGAGGCCAAAGTGTCGGATCTTGGATTTTTCCGGGGGGAAAGTCGGTCCAAGGGTCACAAGGGTCAAAGTGTCAGATCTTGGATTTTTCGCCAAAATCGAATTTTTTAGCCGGGTGAACGTTGATTCCAACTATTTAAGCGACGGGCTATTCAGAACTATCAAAAGTATGTGGAAGAAGTGAAAAGTGGAAAAAAAATTTTTTTCACCGGAGGCCAAAGTGTCGGATCTTGGATTTTTCGCCAAAATCGAATTTTTTAGCCGGGTGAACGTTGATTCCAACTATTTAAGCGACGGGCTATTCAGAACTCTCAAAAGTATGTGGAAAAAGCGAAAACTGAAAAAGTTTTTTTTTTGAAATTTTCAAAGGGTCAGATCTTCCGTTTTTCTAGGGGCGAGTCGACCTCTGCCAAAATCGAATTTTGTAGCCGGGTGAACGTTGATTATAACTATGTAAGCCACGGGCTATTCAGAACTATCAAAAGTATGTGGAAAAAGTGAAAACTGAAAAAGTTTTTTTTTGAGATTTTCAAAGGGTCAGATTTTCCGTTTTTCCAGGGGCGAGTTGACTTCCGTCAAAATCGAATTTTTTAGCCGGGTGAACGTTGATTCCAACTATTTAAGCGACCGACTATTCAGAACTCTCAAAAGTATGTGGAAAAAGTGAAAACTGAAAAAGTTTTTTTTTGAGATTTTCAAAGGGTCAGATTTTCCGTTTTTCTAGGGGCGAGTCGACCTCCGCCAAAATCGAATTTTGTAGCCGGGTGAACGTTGATTCCAACTATTTAAGCGACCGACTATTCAGAACTCTCAAAAGTATCCTATTCTAAAAAGAACATACACCGTAAGCTATAGCGTAACGCTCATTCCCCGAATTTCATTGGTCGAACATTCGGATCCGCCCGCACGTGCTCGACTTCGTTCGGCTTTCGGTTTTCGTCTCACGATTTGTCTTTAACACGCGCGCTCAAGCGCGCGATCGTTCTCGTAATATATGATACAATATAGCGACTGGCGCGAAGCGCCCGTTCGCTAGTTGATAATTAACAGTGAAATTACTAAACAAAATAATATCCATTTTTTCAAACCCAGTCTCACCGCCGTCATGCGAATTACCCCTAATTAATAATCCTCGAGAGCCTAGAAACGACATCGTGCGCTCAAAGTGCAACAAACATTCTCCGACGATGGGACAAAGTTTCCAATTGCCATGGGGTGTGCGAGGCTTTTACACCGAGGCCCTCGTGTTGTTCACCGAGTCACAAGGGGGTAGGGGAAAGGGGGGGGGGGCGAGGGAAGATACTACAGCATTTTAGTTTCTGAGTGTCTGTCCGTTAACTAAAGCCACCTACACTTGTTCCACCCTCCACCGTGAATCGCGTTGTTTCCATTGTACCATCGCATGCTACTTCACTGAAACGAAACTTGGGGTGCGGCAAACCGAGTAATATGCTTCATCATTTACTAACAAAGTATTCTGCATAGATGGAATAATCAACAGGAGTCTCATGTTTCATGGAGTGAGATAAATGAGTGCTTTATGTGAAAACAAATAGGGGAGAAAAAAAATGAGAAGTTTCTCGTTCCACGAGAGTTTGATGAATACCATCGCTTGGGTAGATTATTCAGAGCAACAGCGTTTGCATGACAATTAAGCTCAGTGTTTCGGTGCGAACAGTATATATGTATCGAGGGCGCAATTACGAAATTTTATTTGATGAATAGCAATTATTATTCCCATCATAAAATGAAGGTAATTATTTCCGTTTTCGAAATAATGATTTTTTCGGTTTTTCCAGTTTCTCGTTTTAATTGACAGTTATTATTTTGAATTAATCTGACGGCAGTGCAGTCGCTCAATCCCAAATCTATGATTACACGTTGAAATAAATACTTCGAAATTTGTGACCTACATTTCCGGCACACTGTTTTTTATTTTCATGAAGTGACAATTTCACTGAAAATTCACAATTTAATGAGAGAAAAAAAAATAATGGAAACTGTGAATTTCACGACTGGATGAATAACAATTATTATCCCCATGATCAGAGGAAGATAATTATTTCAGTTTTCGAAAGACTGATTTTTTTCGTTTTTTTACAGTTGACAATCTTTACAATTTTGAAATAATTTGTCAGCAATTAACCCCAAGTCCATTATTGCAAATTCAAATAAACACTTAAAAATTTTGACCCACATTTCCGGTACAATTTTCGGAAATTGTCATCAAATTATATTTTTATTTCCACTAAAATGGAATGTTTACGACGAAAACAATGAAAAGAAGAATGGAAGATGAGAGTTTGACGAATACTACCTCTCGGTACACTATTCAGAGCAAAAGCCTTTACATCAACATTAAGCTCAGTATTTCGTCCCCACTTCGCATATATGCGCGGAATGCGCATATATCCATGGAATGCATAATTATGAAATTTCCTTCGATGAGAAGCAGTTATAATCTCATCACTGAATCAAGATAATTATTTCCCTTTCCGAATGACTAATTCTTCCATTATTCAGTTTCCCACTTTAACTGTCAATAATTATTATTTTTAATCGTGAAAATGTTGAATCGTTCTCCGTCTACATGCAGAAAAACGTGAATTTATTTGTGTCCCCCGTCAATAGTCCGCACCTCGTGGGAACCAAAGCCGCCAGTCGTTAACGATTCAAATAATATTTTTTAAACTTCACGCTGTATTCTCCCGAGATGGTTTTTCACAATTCCGCATTTTCTATTGTGTTTTTCCATTCCCTGTTTTTTTTTCATAACTCTTTTCATTGGAAGACGCTTGAGGGAGAAACTGAAAACCACCCGCTGGGAACGTAAAGAACAAAAGTAACGGTCGAGAGAGGGTTCGAGGTGGAAAGCGGAGGAACTGTTTGGCACTCGGCAGCAGCACCAGCAGATATACTCAGTCGCCAGGGGTTCGCCAGGGTATTTATTCCCTGATGCTCGGTACGTCTGGGCATGACGTTGAATTTCATTATTTTTTATACGGAAAATACCCGTTCTGGAGGTTCTCAGTTTTTTTTTTTTGGCTTCCACGAGTAACTTTATACATGCCAGGAGAGAGAAGTTTGCAACTTACTTTGGCATTGACGTGTGTAATTAATCCCGAAGGGTCTACAGCTATCTGGCCTGCATAAACTCGAGATGGAATGTTCGTTGTGGAAATTCCATAGTTGTCTGGGATCTGATTCAGGAGCATCCATCGGATAGTTTCGGGTATACATGATGTATTCCATGCCAATGAGCCAACGGCTGAAATTGATCTCGAATTTATCTATGATTGGGACACTGAAAAAACTATCTCACAATTTTTTTCGGATTTTTTTAACAGCCCATTTCGGAGAAATAATTTTGTTTTTGCGTTTAGAGATATGATTTTGGAGTGGGAGGACAAGGAGTAGTGAAGGAACAACTTGTCCCCACAGTGGTGAGTCATCAGACGGCTGGTTAATTTTTACGGAACAAATCGTATATAATTTACGTGGCGATTCGTACAATTTCAATTCCGACTCACACTCTTTATTGAATTTTACTTCGCCCGCGAATTACGTTTCGAAACGTAATGTTTACGTTTTTTCTGCTAATTTTTATTGAATTTTTCTCTCCGTGTGCCATTCATTAATAGTCAACGAATTTTGTTTGGAATTAATGAATCAGTCTATCAGTGTGAAGACTGAATTTTTCCCGGCGTATCCCCTTAAATGTACCCATTCTTAACAATATTTTGTTTGCCGTGCGCATTGCCGGATGGAATAGCCCCTGCACTTCGGGTATCATCCGACGACGAGTCGCAATACTTGCGACTCGCATTCGCCAGTCCCACCCCTTCGCCGCTCACTCGCACACTAGTCTCTCTCCTCCGTGCACACATTCAGCCCCTCGTCTGTAGTTGATCGCGAAGGGATGGCTGACTACAGCGGGGTAGATTCTACTACCACCGGGTCAGTGGCAGTGCGCCGGGCGCGCTCCACCAGGCTGGGTGTGTGCTCCCTCCTATAACCCCTTGCCATTTGCGCTCCTCATCCGATGGTTGATAAACATCAGTCATGTTTGTTTATACCACGTGCTCAATGTTTCTCTTGTTATTGTAATCTGGTTATTGTAATCAGGCCTTCGGTGTGTTTTTTTATCCGAGGAGTGGAGGCTGATGAGAAGAGGATGTTTTGATTTTGCGGATGAGTGCAGGCGACATTGGTGAGTGGGCATTCCATTCAATTCGAACATTACCGAGGGTAAAAAGTAATATTTCTCATGTGATAGTGATCCCACGTGATGATGAAAATATTCATTCACTGTTAGCAGAAAATTACTCTTGAAATTTCAAGTTAAAAATATGAAAAATTTTAACGACAAAGTTCCATGAAATTTCCGTATTTGGTTCTATTTTTTCACTGACGAATCAGTGAAATCAGTTAATTCTAATCAGAATCAGATCAAAATCAGACTGAGTGATCAGTTAATTTCTCGAATATTCAAGTAATTCCCGATTTTCAAATCCATGCGGCACTAGAAATGGTAAAAAGTTGGGAAATTTCAGGCAAAACTTTTCTGAATTCTCAGTCTATTGAAAATTCAAGCTTTCATTGAAATATCAGTGATCGCTTAACATGAAACACCGAACTTTCTTGAATATTCAAGATGAATTAGAACTTTAATGAACATTTTCACTTGAAATTAAGTTCAAACTCAGAACATTGAGAATTTAGATGAAACTGCGACTGAAATTTGAAGAAATTTCTAACAGTGTTTTTATCTCGAATGATTCAGTGTAATTTTTAGTGAAAAAAATAGTAATTCGATATTTCGTTATTTTGTTTGAGACAAAAATTGATTTTCGCTGATGAAAATCCGTATTTGTGTTGATGATTATGAATTTGTGAATGAGATTAGTGTAATTAAGTACTTGAAATTCATCAATATTACTGTAGAATTGAATTGGTTCTATTTTGTCATCGGGTTAAACATTTAATGCCCAATTTTTTAATGATTTATTCTTCTATATCGCTGTAACCCGTGCGGGCACAATTCTGATATTTCAAATGGAAATATCATTGTCATCCTATCGTAGGTATTAATGGGCAATTGGGAGGACAAGCGGATTTGTCCAATGAATTCTCATTACAATAACAATATCGTTTTATCGTGCCCCTACAATTCTGCATGAGGATGTCGTTAAATATGAGCCAAAATACCATCGATTGAAATTGAAATCTTCTCAACTATCCGCCAAAATATAAAAAACAACAAATCGTAAATTTTCTTCAATAAAAATGCCTGGAGTTCTTCTCGCGAAAATGAAAACGCCGAAATAGAAAAAACGATAAATGCGAAATTTTTTTCAATAACAATCGCTCTGGTTCTTCTCGCGAAGATGAAGACGCCGAAATCTAAAAAACAATAAATCCGACATTTTCTTCAATAAAAATCCCTCGGGCTCTTCTCGCGAAAATGAAAACGCCAAAATATAAAAAACAATAAATGTGAAATTTTCTTCAATACAAAACCCTCGGGCTCTTCTCACGAGAATGAAAGCTCTTTCGTCTCTCCAATGAATGTTCATTGGAAATATCTCCAATAAATGTATTTCGTTAGCACAACAACTAGTATTTTCACAGAAAATTTCGCAGATCTCATTCACACACCTGTGTACATCCAACGGAAGAAGTGAACGTCTCAGGAGAGTCTGGAAATATTCAGTCCTCAACGACTTCAGTTCACCCCTCGCATGTACCACATGCACACAAAAACATCATTTTACTACTAAATAGCTATATCGTTTTATCGTGCCCCGGCAACTCTGCATGTTGATGTTAAATTTTTTTTATCGTTATTTTACATCGCTTCGACCCGGTTAGGGCATGCGGCCATGATGATCAAGACTTTAAATGGTCAGATCGGACCATTCCACCCGTCCGGGATTTGAACTCGGAACCTTTCTCATGCGAGGCAACGAACTTACCCACTGCGCCAAGCCACCGGGGCAATGTTGTTAAATGTGAGTAAAAATGCGATCGATTAAAATTGAAATCTCCTCCTCAACCATCCGCCGAAATATAAAAAAATTATAAATCCGAAATTTCCTTAAATAAAAATCCTTCGACCTCTTCTCACGAAAGTGAAAACGCCGAAATATTAAACCCAATAAATGCGAAATTTTCTTCAATAAAAATCCCTCGGGCTCTTCTCACGAAAATGAAAACTCTTATTTTACAAAGTCTTCAACGGCTTCAGTTCACCTCTCGCATGCACCACATGCACACAAAAACATCTTATCTACCCTGAGTATAGTAGAATATTAAATTCCTGTCATCATACTGTGGATATTAATGAGTAATTGCACCGAGAAAAATTTCAAAGGTAATTTTAACTACAAGGGAATTGTCAAAGAAATTATATTTAGAGTAACAATAAACTTTGTAGATTAAACTAGGATTCATCGTTCGATTTACTATGTCAAATAGTGTCATCAACATTATCATGTAATTTTCACTTTAATGTAATAGTTAAATCTACAATATTTATTGTTACCGTAACTATTATTTTGTTGACAATTTCCTTGTAGTTTAAATTACCATTGACATTTCTCGCAGTGTGGGAGGACAAGCGAACTTTCCTAATAAATAATTATATCGTTTTATCGCGCCCCTACAACTCTGCATGTTGATGTTGTTAAATATGAATGAAAATGCAATCGATTAAAATAGAAATCTCCTTCTCAACTATCCCCCGACATAAAAAAAAACAATAAATGCGAAAATTTCTTGAATAAAAATGCCTCGAGCTCTCCTCACAAAACTGAAAACGCCGAAATATAAAAAACAATAAATGCGAAATTTTCTTCAGTAAAAATCCCTCGACCTCTTCTCACGAACATGAAAACATTTCGTCTCCTCAACGAACGTTTATTGACAATATCTCCAATAAATATATTTCGTTAGCACAACAACTAGTATTTTCACAGAATATTTCGCAGATCTCACCCACCCACGCCTGTATACATCCACCGGAAGAAGTGAGCGTCTCAGGAGAGTCTGAAAATATTACAAGGTCCTCAACGACTGCAGTTCGCCCCTCGCATGCACCACATGCACACAAAAACATCTTATTTACCCTGAGAATGGGAGAATATTCTCTCCACAATTGAGATAAAATTCTCATAAATATTTTTCAAAGCTCAAAAGCCAGAGATATACATCGAGAACAACTAGAATTGATTGATCGTTGGTGATACAAAGTTTCAGAGTAGAAACTAAGAGGGAATAAAGACAGATGGAGGTGGAAAGTTAAAGTGGAAGATTGAAGTTGGAATTGAACTTTTCATGCTGTTAGGATAATGGGAGTGGAACTGAGGAGATTGGGAGTATTCCTGATGTGGCAATGGTTTGTTGTGGGCTTGCCACTTGAGCCCCAGATCCTGATACCCGAAAGGAGTAAGGATATAATGATGATAGTATATCAGATGATGAATTGATGAATGCCTTTTGTTCTGGTGAAGAGTTGCTAATCAGGGATGAATAATTACGCAGGTATACGCGAGGGATCGTACATAAGACATTACACAGCTGTTCATTATGACACGGAGATGTTGAGGAGACATCGGACACGAGTGCGACGGGATCTACGCGGAAAGGGAGAGACGCTTTGGTTGAATGTAACAGCATTTGACAGGTATTATTGCATTGAATTGAACTGAGAAATGACAAATGTCAATGAAATAATTTAACATTATTTCAAAATTTTCTATTGATTATGATTTCAACAACATTTTTTTAAATTAATAAACTCATGGGTTTATTCCAATGAAAATGTTGGTAAGTGCGGTCTCTTCGTCGTCTAAATAATTATTTAAATCTCTATATTATAAAAATTGAAATCGACTTCTGGCGATGAAAATTTGGTACTTGAAATTAAGAGTTCGAAATTAACGGTCACAAGGGCTACGAGGGTAAAATAAGGGTCATGAGAATCAGAATAAGGGTTATGAGGTCAGAAAAAGGCTCATGAGGGACAGAATAAGGGCCACAAGGGTCAGAATAAGGGTCGCAAGAGTAAGGTTAGACTAAGGGCCTCAATAAGGGTAACAAGGGTCAGATTATGGGTCTAAATAAGTGTCACAAGGATCATATTAAGGGTGACAAGGGTCAGAGTAAGGGTCCAAATAAGGGACATCGATTCAGAATACCCAGGGCCAGAAACTAAGGGTCACCGGGGTCAAAATACGGGTCACATATCTCTTTATATTGCAAAAATCCAAACCGATTTTTGGTGACGAAAATTTGGCGCTCAAAATTAGGACTCAAAAATTAAGGGTTAGAAATGAAGGGCCATGAGGGTCATGTTAAGGGTCAGAATAAAGATCACGGAAGTCATGTAGGGATTGGCGAGCGGAGCGAGCAGGGGGCGTAGGCTCCTAGTTATAACTAATATTAACGTGTTTATTTGTTTATTGGGACTGAGAAAACAATTTTTTATTAAAAAAAAAAGCTGTCGATTTCATGTGAATAAAAACCCAGCTAAAAATCACGTTGAAGTTTGATTTCTTTGAGTGCATGCACGGAGAGAAATATTCAATAAAAATTACGTATCTTTTCCGTAATTCGCTTCGGAATTACGGAAAAGATTTAAAATTAATTTAAAATTAGGAAATTTTACGGAACTGGTACGGAATTTTTCCAGAGCGTTCCGTAATTTTTATCTGAATCTCCTGTGAAAAATTACGATACCGTCACTTCAATTTTCTGAGTCAATTCCGTAATCGGTGAGCGAATTGTGAGTTCCGTAATTTTTACTGAACATTTCTCTCCGTGTGGGTCAAGTCCTGAGGGTCAAATTGACGGTATTCTCTCCCCCACCATCAGCCTCTAATCACCCATTCATCTCCATGAAATATTCTGGCAATTATCAATGGTCGAGTAGACAACAATGGCTGTCATTCACTACTAGGTAACTAATAGCGGTAATGACTGATAAGTGGTGTGATGAGTCGCTGGAGCATTATGACAACCGCCCCAACGGTTTCAGTCAATTTGCATTTTGACGTTAAGTGGCCGCACTACAACGTCAGCCACGGTATTAACTGTAGTTTCCCATTTAGCGGGTAATCATTCATCACGGTATGACGTTCGGTAATGGCACGGGAAAGATTTCTGTATTCGAAAGGGGTAATCGTGAGAAAGTGATATATAGTAGATAGAATGTTGAAAATTTTTGGCTGAAATTTCTGTACGCTTTTTGTAAATTACCATTACATTTTAGTTCAACAAAAATTTCGGGGGATTTCGTCATTGCAAATTGAGAATTTTATGGAAAAGTCAACGAGATCTGTAAATTTTCGATCAGTTATTCAATGAAAATCAACAGAAATTAATTAGATTAAGCGTAATTTGCGCGGAACATTCATATTTTTATTGGAATTTCAAATAAGTTGAGGAATTCTCATCTTGATGTTGCTAAATCGTATTTAAGGATTTCCAAGTACTTTGTTTATTTTTTCCCCAGTGAAATGCGTTTCTGATTTTCAGAGCTTTCATTTAAGCCCCATTTGACGCTAAATTTCCTGACATTTTACAATGATTATATTATTTAAACATTGCAAATCTGAATTTGAATCTCGGTATTGAACCGTTAGAAAACGTTTAAAAATCGGAAAAAATTAGAAAGTTTACTTTTGGGGGAAGATTCATGAAGGAATGTGAAGGAATGAGGGTCAGGATGTTAGAGTTGAAAAAAGAGGATCAGAATATTAGGATAAAAAAACTAGCGCCAGAATATAAAAGTAAAAAAAGTGGGTGTCAGGTAATGAGGGTCATATAAGGGCTAAAAACGGTGATCAAGCATAATATATGACTTATATTTAGACCCTCATTGCCTGACACCCACTTTTTTACTTTTATATTCTGGCCCTGATGTTTTGACCCTAATATTCTGACCCTCATTTTTTAATCTCCATTTTTTGACCCTTACATTCTGACACTTAGTGCCTGACCCTTACATTACACAAATAAAATGGCGTCGGCCTTGCCCTGGTCCTTGTCGTTAAATAATTTGCAATTTTTTTTTGCGTAAATAAAAGTATGAGAAGAGAGCGATGCGTTCCGCTACTTTCAATACAGGCAAAAGTTTCATTGATTCTCATTGCATAGAATCCAAGAAAACTTGTTTTTGGTAAACGTCTTGTTGTGGTCGGTTCCGATACCCCTTAAGAGGGCTTGCTACAGCCCGGGCTGGTACAAAAGAATCATCTTCGAATTGAAATACTCAATTCAGGCATTTTTTTCAGTGATCTATATTGTAGTCTGTACCGAACCGTAAATAGATACTTGGATATTCTTAACGTCACTCTCCTGAAAATTACTAGTCGACTGTCCATGGAATTTCAAGTTTTTCCAAGCGTGTACCAGATATCGGTCCCGAATATCTCAATGTACTTTTGGGGAAATATTCATCACCAACATTCCGCGAATCCTTTGTGGCATCTCCAAGCTTTGAACTCATGATTTAATCTAATTCCAGAACTTATAGGATGCGCCTCGTTCAGGATACGACTTTGTACCACGAAAATGCCATCTTTGAGACATCGAGTGGCCGTCCAATTTCATTCGATTCGTCTCACATCTACACGGGAACGCTCGAGGGTGAGTGAAAATTGTTTTCTGTCACATTTTATCATCTCTGAAAAATTCAATAAAACGAATGAAAATGTAGAAGGGAGCACGTGAAGGGAGGAACACCTGAGAAAAATGAAAATGATGAGACGTAATCGGTAAACAGACTCCCTGAGAAATTGAATATGCAATCAATTTCCTTACTGGAGATAAAAGAAATCCGGTCAAAGGATGGTAAAAAGGCTGGAGTGGTTAGTTGACACAGGCATTCGCATGCCCTAGACTCGAGAGTCGGGGAATGAGAGCGATAACTCGATTTTCCAGATTCACCAGTTTCCCTCTACACCTTTTCGCATTGCACTACCTCGTGGCTTGGAAAGTCGAGGGGAATCCACTCAGAATGAGTGGAAATGGAAGTTCAGGGGGGTTTGTGTATATATAAATTGACGATTCAAAATCATCCGGGGACTATACAATTTAACGATTCGATGCCCTCAACTTCTAGGGACGCAGCGAAATCGTTCAAAATTAACATTATTATTCTCAACAAACAGGCGATCAAGTTCTCAATTAATTTCAGAAATATTTTCATTTTGTTTCTCGCTACAACCAGAGAAATGGTTTATTGAATGCATTGAGTGGTTTACTGAATGAATAAATGAATGCATTCAAACTAAATGAATCACTTTGTTGTAATTTCATGTAATTAATCAAAAGCTTTGCTGACATGAATAGAAAAAATCCAAAGAAATATTCTTATTTCATTAGAATATGTCATTTCTCTCGCTGTAAAAACACGAAGTGAACACCAAAAATTATAAAACCTCTCCCGTGCATTTTCACCGATAAAACTCCATGTCTATTTGTATTTCCATTGACCGAGAAAATGTATTCACTAGGGGGCTGTATGAGAATCACCCTGGATCTCTGATGCTGGTTGAACAGAAGGCCAAATTGGAAAGCTTTGCGACTGACAGGACTGGCTCGTGTGCCCCGTGTTATGTGCTCACATCCTAATGCCACTCAAGCAATCCAATGCAGATAAATTAAAAAATCCAGTAGGCAAGCTCCTCGCCTCTCCATTATTCCCTTCCTCGTTTCAAAAAAGTGGGAAAAAATCACCGAAGTAATTAAGGGAACCTGCGAACGACTGTTCCCTCATGGAAATAAGAATTGAAATAGGGCATTGTTGTGCATAAAAGTATATCCAAAATAATGGGAGCCAAAACTATCGGGCTGGCACGTTACCAGCGAGTTTTCCAGGTGGCTGGGGAATTAAGCTGCGCTTCACAGGGTCTTGGTGGCCACCAGCGGATTGCCCACAATATACGCTCCGTCGAATTTACTATTTCCGCTCCTGTCTTTATCTTCCCTCGTCTTTCCGGCTAACTCACTCTATTCTCTCATCACTCTATACCCTCCTTTATTCCCTCTTAATCCTTTTGTGGTGGGGGTTCATGGAACTCATAAAATCCATGGGAGAGTCGTCTCTTATGAAAGAGAAATCCCATTGACATTTTCTGGAAGATGAGGTAAAATGATACTTTTTGAATCGTCCATATCTCCTGAAGTAATGATACCATTTCAAAGAGTCGAGGCTCATTTTGAAGCTTGAGGAAATATCTTGATAATGAAAAGAAAATTGGAGAATTTTACTCAGTGGACTTTGAACTAGACACGATTGAATACGTTTTATTGAATACGATGAATAAAATGAATCTTATTAAATTACCGATATCTCCAGATTAAATGATGGGATTTGGACAAATCAGGGCTCATTTTCAAACTCTGAAAAACCCCTTGAAAATGAAAAAAAAAGTGAAAATTTCACTTTCAATAGGTGAATTCGATATTAAAAAATTGACAAGAATGAAATTTTGGGAATTTCAAATCCACAAATTTTTCCGACAGGATTTCTATATATTTCCCCGATTCGCTGGAAACCAGAAAAAATCGATGGACGAATGTGGGGTTTACGGTTTGAAAAAAATCATTCATCAAAACGGTGAATTTGATATTTAAAAAATAACAAGACCGGAATTTTCGGAATTTCACGTCCCCATATGTTACCAACCGAATTTCTGCTAGTTACACGCCAGCCCAGTGTTCCACCGACTCGATAAAAACCGAAAAAAAAACATTCGGAAATTGTCGACGCGTTCGATGGATGAATGTTGGGTTTAGCGAGGAAAAAAAGAATAGATATGGGTAGACAGATGAAGATGGAGGAGATTTACTGCGAGCGGAGGTATCACTGGTGCCAGCAAGCTTTTAGTACCTTTTCTTCTCCAACGGGGATGAAGGCATAAAAATGATGCCAGTAGACACAGGCAGGATATGACACACGATCTCGTTCAAACTACTCAAGCGGTATTTCATTTCAATGGCCAGATGTTGTCGCCTCCAATGCCTCGCTCCCGCCAGCCATTCAAAAAAGCCCTCTCTATACCACATAAAACATCATATATTACCTGAGCTGGATAAAACTAATATATCAGGTGTGCTTTTATCTCGGAATTTTATTTTACTCAGTTATCCCCACCGCATCCGAAAACACAAACATCGTTTCCACGTTGAGTTTAACCCAGACGCTCTTTGAAACTTTTTAATTGGTAGGAAATAATGCAGAGTCGCATATTTTTACTCCCGTCATCTCAGGCTCTCACTGACTTCCACAGAGTACTTTGTGTCACAAACTCTTCAGGTTTTTTCAAACGTTAAAGCCTGTTCTTTTCGTAAAAGTAATGTAACGTAATTTATGTTTTTGAAGAGATTGCTCTGATTCACGAGTGGCTGAATTGAACTTATTTTTCAAGTTAACTTTAAATTGTCGGTTGTATGAAATCAGAGGTTCAACAAACCGGGGCTTTAATCTTTATTCCTCTATTGTTAATTTTTTAATGAAATGAAGATCATGAAGAGTTTCCTTCACTGACAGAAAAAAATAATTTTATCCAGAGAATTTAATTTCAACCAACTACCATTTGGTTGGTAATTTTCAAATAAACATGATTTCATAGTAAATACCAGTTATCTCTTCTTGAGATACACTCAATTGGGACCAATCGAACTTCTCTCGAATTGAAGTTCCTTTTATTTGTCGCAATAATGAGGGTATTTGATTTGGCCGTGACTATTCGCACCATTGCGTGAATCACTCCCGTACACTCCATACACTCCACGCATGCGTGAAGTTTGTGTGTTTCACGCAGCCGAATTTTCATACTGCTGTGTATTTCACGCAGTTGAAGTTTCATACTACTGTGTGTTTCACGCAGTTGAAGTTTTATACTACTGTGTGTTTCACGCAGTTGAAGGTTTATACTATTGTGTGTTTCACGCAGTTG